TACAATTACCGCTATCTACATAAATATGGAGTTTTTAAAAAAAAAAGTGAGCCAAAGAAGAAAATGTTTCCATTTATATAAAAATTGAAAAATACCAAAACTAAACAATTATGTTAGAGTTTTTTTTTTTTAAGTCAATAAAGTCAATGGAATGATAAACACAAAGTTTAGATGAGTGGCTATCTCTGAAGGGAGGGAAAAGAAGGCATCAGAGAGGGATACACAGGGAACTTCAAAGGCCATGACATTCTTTTTTCAAAAACTTATATGGTGAGGACACAAGTTATTTATTTTTTTAACCTTACACATACTCCACAATTTTTAATATCTCAGTATTACAAAATGTTTTCTAATTGCCCAAAATCACTATTCCTCCTCCCTCACTCTAGTTCCTTGGTTGTGTAGGGCTGAGAACCCCACAGGGTTGTGGGGTGTCCCTTATGCTGTGCTGATGTGCAGTATCTCAGAAATAGAGACAGAACACAAAAGTACAAGGAAAACACAGCTGGGTTCAGCAGGGCCATGCCACCTATAAGTGGAATCAGGTGAGGCCCTGAATGTCCAGAAGCGTCAGTATTACTGGGTTTAGGTTAGGGGGCAGGGTAATGAGTGAAGCCATCTTTAAGGATAGTGATAGGATCGTGAGCCATAAAACAAGGGGTCCATCCCCATTAGGTCACCTAGGCCAGAAGGTGGACAGTGTGCAGCAAGGGGTCCATTCCCATTAGCTCATGGAGGTAAGGAAGTGGGCCATGTGCAGTCAGGGGTCCACCCCCATTAGGTCATCGAGGCATGGAGGTGGGCCGTGGGCATTGAAGAGGGTGCAGTGTGCAATACCTCTATCTATGGGCAAGCTACCTTAAAAAGATTGATAGGAGGATGCTTTAAGTCACACAGCAGTGACAGAGCTGTCAGGGTTACCGCCACCTGCTGGCAGCTTCCAGTGGGTTCTATAGGAAGATGCTTTTCGAGCAGCACAGTAACAGGAGCTGATAAGGTTCACAGTCACCAAAGTGCAATTATCCAGAGGGGTTTTGAGCCCTTGGATGCTCAAGGGATTGCTGGTCTGAGGGCAGCCCTCCACAAGAACTGGAGCAAGGTCCTATAACTCCTTTATCAAGAGGAGTGGCTCTTGCCCCAAGCCTGTCATACAGCAGGTATCTTATGATATTGAACACTGCTGTCTGGGCCATGGATTCTTGTCCTGGTATAACTGTTTTCCCTTAAATCATGCTCTGCACTGTATCTGCTCCAGACATTTGTCCGACTATAAGCTGCTTATTCCTTAATTCATGCTCTGTACCATGTCTACTCTAGGCATTCCTCTGATTACGAGCTAAGATATAGTTTTATATGTATGTGTGTGTATACATATAAAACTATATATTATACATCTAAAACTATATATTATAACTATATCTTACATTTAGTTATAAAATAAAGTTATATACATAAAACTATTTCTATATATATATGATGTATAGTTATACATATATCTTCTAACTATCCATATATATATGGAAATAACTGAGTGGTAAGATATTCTTTAGGCACTCATTCTATGAACTAATATATGATTATATATAGAGGATTATATAAAGGGAAATAACTGAGTAGTAACACTATAAACTGAGACATTCTTCACCTCACTCTATAAACTAATATATGATTATATAAAGAATTATATAAAAGGAAATAACTGAGTAGTAATACTATAAACTGAGATATTCTTCAGATCTTAATTGTGCCAGGATTCTGCTTAGCTCTCCTTCCTCGGTGCCTATATGGGGGGTTACTCTCAGGTTGGCTCCAGCTTACCTGGTAGCTGGGTGTTAGAGTACTGAATTCCTGGGGCTGACTGCATGGTCTCTGCCACTGCTTCATTCACAGGAGGGGTGGGGGCAAGCACCCGGTGCCGGTGAGGAAAGCCTCTGTGCTGCCAGGGATTTGACACCGCTGGGCTGCATACGGCAGTGACTCCTGGTTATCCAAACGCCGCTTCATTCTGCGCTCAAGCAAAAACCAAAAGTGATAGCATGCAAGTCAATTCTCACTCCAGTATGACAGACGCAACATAGGACCAGTCACCCACATTTAATAGAAGCTTGACTTCCAAAACTGATAACACCAAGCTAGAAATGCACAGGCACTGCCGAGGGTAGTGGAGATGCAGGTCCTAAGTGGTTTAATTCTGGGTAGTATTTTGGATATAGAGCAAGTAAGATTTGCTGATGGATGGCATATGAAAAAGACAGTAAAGAGTCTACAACGCCTCTTAGCTATCCAAGAGGAGACACTGAGTGGAGACCTTGAGTGGCCCACGAGACATATTAGTCCACAGTAGAGGGAGAGATTCCACTTAGAGTCATCAGGGTTGCTTGGATTTTAGAAAGGTAGTATGGTACATATAATGTATCATCTCTCTCTCCCAGCTAAGGCTGGGGCAGCTCTCCATAATCAAGCAGTCACATTTCTGCATCACGCGGGACAGCCTGGGTTGGGTTGCCCCCCAAAATTAGTTGTGGAACTAGATTTACCAAAAAACAAACGAAACCTTTTCATTTCATAACTGCAAATAAGGAATGTGAACCTGCATATCCTCCAATAGCCCGCATGTGAGCAAGCTAGCCCTGGAGGACACCAAGAGGACTCATGAAGGGTCCACTGTCATGCTGGGAAATATGGGTAACATACAAGCACACAAGACAGAGAAAGGGTAGGGAAAACAAAAGCAAAAGGAGGGGCAAATAAGAAATATATCAGTTAGAAATTGCCACCAATGACTGGGCATGGTGGCTCACATCTGTAACCCTAGCACTTTGGGAAGCCGAAAAAGGAAGATCTCTTGAGCCCAGAAGTTCGAGACCAGCCTGGGCAACACAGGAGGACTTCACCTCTACAAATATGTTAAAAAATTTGCCAGGTGCATTGGTGGCACATACCTGTAGTCCCAGCTACTTGAAAGGCTAAGGTAGGAAGATTGCTTAAGTTCAGGTCGACACTGCAGTGAGCTGTGATCACACCACTGCACTTCAGCCTGGGCAACAGAGCAAGACTGTCTTGAAAGAAAAAAAAAGGAAATTCTAAAACATGGTACAACAGGGATGAAAGAAGCTAGGCACAGCAGCCCACGCCTGTAATCCCAGCACTTTGGGAGGCCAAGGCGGGTGGATCACAGGTCAAGAGATGGAGACCACCCTGGCCAACATGGTGAAACCCCATCTCTACTAAAAATACAAAAATTAACAGGGTGTGCTGAGGCTGAGGCAGGAGAATCGCTTGAACCTGGAAGGCAGAGGCTGCAGTAGGCAGAGATCACACAACTGCACTCCAGCCTGGTGACAGAATGAGACTCCATAAAAAAAAAAAAAAAAAAAAGACATTATGTGGCCAGGCGCAGTCAGTGGCTCCTTCCTATAATCCTAGTATTTTGGGAGGCTGAGGCAGGTGGATCGCCTGAGCCCAGGAGTTAGAGACCAGCCTGGCCAACATGGTGAAACCCCATCTCTACAAAAATACGAAAGCTGAGGGTGGCGGCGTGCATCTGTAGTCCCTGCTATTCAAGAGGCTGAGGCAGGAGAATTGCTTGAACCCGGGAGGTGGAGGTTGCAGTGAGCTGAGATCGCGCCACTGCACTCCAGCCTGGGCGACAGAACAAGACCCTGCCTCAAAAAAAAAAAAAAAAAAAAAAAAAGTCTAGTGCCTAACACAGTACCTGTGACACAGTAAGTGCTCAATAAATATAAGCTTTTATTATCTAAGGGGAGAGGAGGGTGTGTTTTGAAAAAGCATACACTATGTAATTTTTCAAAGGCCTATGGAAAGTAAGCTTAACAAACTCTTTCTTGACTGGTGGAATTGCCCAGAAAAGTAAGAAAGCCTTGAAAAGCACTATGCTATACTACTGATTGCCATGCACATAACCTTTTAATTCCAATTAAAATTCCCAGGTACTAACATCTGCCACGCATGGCTGTCTCTGGTCTTGTCTATTCACACAGAAAATGTAAACAGAATTATGCTTTACCAGGAATCTTGTCAAATTACTATACACCTCCTTCCTTAAAAAAGAAAAACAAAAAACTTGCTCTGTATGTAAATTATTAAAACCGTCTGAATTACAAAATTCCAAGGCATAGGGTGGGGCAGATCTGGGCGCCCAAACTCCCAGCATGATCCGACAGCGGGTTCCGCCTCCTTAGCAGTGAGGCGGAAACCAGGAGGGGAGAGGGAGACAGACAAGCGGAGAAAGGGAGCAAGGGGACTGGCAGCACCATCAGTACGACCCTCCAGCCAACCGGATCTCGAGGAGGTGGAAGAACTCAGACTTCACGCGCCCTCCCAGCCGCGCCCAGAGTCGACTCGCGGAGACCCCCTACCCGTCCCGGACCCCAGCAGGGCGGAGCCCGGCCGCAAGCCCGAGGCCCCGCACACCCGGGAGGAGAGGGTGTGATCCGCTGTAAACCGCCCTCAGCGCGAAGTTGCCCAGTCCCTTTCTCCACAATTGCACGGGTGCGCGGGTCCTGCCTCAGAGAGGCGGCGCGAGAGCCTGTCCCACTCAACGTGCAACCGGACTACACTCTCCTCCTCCCTCGCGGAGAGCCACCCCGCCCTGCCTCCCACCCGCCTCTCACAGCCACACACCTCCAGCCCGTCTGCTCTGCGGGAAGCCAAGGAGGTCAGGCCCCCTCACCCCATACACACCCTAGAGTGCGGCGTTACCCGCCACCAGGCTCCCGCCCGACCCCCGGCCCCGCGTGCTCTCACCGCAAAGCTGTTCGGCCGCTAGTCACTGCGCGTCCCTCTCCGCGTGAGCCACGAGCTCAGCACGGAGGCCGCCAGAAGGGCTGGGGGCACAGGCCTACCGAAGCTGACTGGCAGCTACTTCTCCGCTAACGAAACGGTCACAGGCCCTGGTGCCCAGACTAGGAAGGAGGGAGGGAAGATGGAGAAACCCTCAACGGCCTTTACCACCCGCCACTTCTCCGTTACCAGGGAAATACCGCCCCACCCTGCAGAAGGAAAAAAAAAAAAAAACAAGCTTCGTTCCAACATTGGACACAATACCCATCCATCAAAGCCTTAGCCAATCACCGAGCCTGCCTGCTGACTTCCCGCCCCTCCCCCTTGCTCACCTTATCCAGCCCCTATCGGCGGGGAGCTTCCCTAACTCAACCCCCGCCTATTGAAGAAGTACCGCTGGAGCCCACCCTCGGCCTTGGGGTGGGCGGGGAAGCAGGCAGTTCCACGTGTGCAAGGGGGCTTTGGAAGCCGGCAGCTCCAGGTGTGCAGGGGGGCTTTGGAAGCCAGCAGCTCCAGGTGTGCAAGGGGGCTTTGGAAGCCGGCAGCTCCATGTTTGCAAGGGGGTTTTGCAAGCAGTCACCTCCATGTTTGCAAGGGCCGCGGGGCGAAGCCGCGGAGTTCCTGGGGGTTTCCGCACCAGCTGTGCCAACTCCTGCCGGCTCGCAGCCTGCCAGGTTCCGGGACCGAATGCTGACTCGACCCCCAGGGGCCAGGGAGTTCAGAACCCCGGCAGCTCACAGGGCCAGCGGCGAGGCGCAGGTGCTTTTCCCGTAGCCTCTCTCGCCCCGGGCGGCCGCCCCTCCAGCAACGCCAGTGTTGCCCCCGTCCCGAGTCCAAAACAAACGCGGGCCCACGGTTTTGGCGCCTCACCGGAGCGCGCCTAGCACCCCCTCCGACAAGTTTGCGGGCAGAAATAAAACCCTCGGAGCGGCTGCCGCCCTTGCTCAGCGTGGGGAGCAGACACTTCTTGAATTGCTGCCTCTCATTAGAGTAACATCTTCAATGCAATTGGCCTGTTGTGTATTGTAAGTGCCCACAGCACTGCAGGACCCCCTCCTCCTAAGCCCAACTTTGACTCAGTCTCCCTTAGGCAGCTGGTGAACACAAGTGTAACCTGGGAAACACGAGCACTGGCCCATGGTCTCCTGCCAGGAGCATATCAACAGTGGTCTCCACTTTGAAAGTGTTTTTCTCATGCTCATGGCTCATGGATACAAGAGATCCTGAAAGATTCAAATACAGGATATGCCAGAAAAGTGATCTGGGTACAAGGAAACTTCCTGCCCATCCCCAGGAGCATCTAAATCAGCCTCTGGCCAACAGCAGGTGGCGCCTCGGTCGTTGCCCCCTGCCAGCTTCTCCACTGAAGGTGCTGTGGACTTGAAGCCATCAGGAGATTTGGAATGGTTGTGATTTACACAGCAGGGCCTGAGTCTTGGTGAGGAAGGGTAGGAGCAGGGAGCTGCTCACTCAGAGCTGGGTCAGCCTCTGACCCTTCTTAGCCAGGCCTGATTCCAGGCTGCTCGGGCAGCTGTTCTGGTCAATAGGTACTGAGACCCTGGCAGCTTGTCGGCTTCATTCCCTGAGCTGTCCAAGCACCAGCCCCACAGGCCACTTTTTCACTTAATGAATCTTAACTGCCCAGCAGCCTGGTTTGGTTGGTTGAAGATGAATCTGATTCTAAGTTCAACTGTCACAGGGGCAGTTGGCTGGGAACGTCCTGCATTCTGAGTCAGCTGGGAGTCAAGGAGGCTACTGGTCATTCAGAGAGGTCACCCAACCACAAGGAAGTCACCCCACAAGGCAGATACAGGGTCAAGTGTGGGTAAGACAGACACAAATTTGGGCCCCAAAGCCTTCAGCAGGGCTTCCTTGGGGGAAAGTCTTGCATTTTGGGTGAGGGGTTGAAATGTCAAGCCAGGAGTTAAGGCAGGGTTTGGGCCCTTTTCTTGGGCCAGGCACCCCCTCCAGGGCATCAGTGTCTCCCTGCAGCAGTGTTGGGGTATAAGAGGATTTGGAAATGGATGAGGGTCCTCACTTTGGAGTCCAGGGTGTGGACTCCTGGTCTCAAGCATTCAGGGATCTTCATCCCCAGGGAACCAACTAAATTCCCTGCCTTAGCTTCATTACTCATCAGCATTGTTACTCTGAGCAAATCACTGAATCTCTCTAAATTTCAGTTCCCTGAAACATAAAATAGAAGTCAGCTCCCACTCTTCCCATCCCACGTCACAAGAGATAACAGATTTTTTCCCCCTGAGCTGTAAAGCATCATGTCCATGCCAATGTGGAAAGGTGGAGCTTTGTCCTGCCTTGACCTGTCACCTTCCATGTCCCGTCTCTGGAGGTCACCAGTGCTGCGTGTCTTCCAGATGTGTAACTGAACACCTGTGTAGAACAGCACTTATGAAGTACCCATCATCTTTCTTAACGCTGTGTCTGCATTTATATTTAGCCTCGTAACAGCGTAGTAATAAGCAGGCCCTAGTAACAAGTTCACATCCTAGAACTGAAGCTGAGGACAGAGGAGCTGAGTGACAGTACCAGGAACACGTGGCTTAGATTTCAGGCCGGGCACAGGCACCATGCTCTGGTCACTGTGTCGTGCTGACTTTCTACATTGTTTCATCTAAAGAAAGCAACTATTCCCATGCAACTCATCTGTGGGTATTTTATGCACATCACACTACAGGATCCCATTTTCTAATCCCCACTTGATTCACATGGGTCCACTAGGTAGCTAGTGATAAAGAGATCCAGAATTTAACCTGGGAATACATTATTAATACTTTTGCCAGGAAGATGTCAACACCCCTCGTTCTTGTAAATGCATTTCCGAGTGCCTTCATAAAGGAATATGAAAAGAAAAAAATAGATTGAAATAAAGCATGTACCTGGGGGTAAATCCTTGGGGAATAAAGTGTACCCTCAGGCACTGGTGTGGGAGGCCCTGGTGCTTTATCTTTCTCTGGCTCTGGCCCTCATTCTGGTTTTCTCCAGGTCCCTCCCTCTGGCAGAGGAACCTCTCATAAAGACAGGTTGCTCTGTCTTTTATCTGTCTTGGGCAGGACCCAAGGGAATTGCAAAGGGAAAGAGAAAGGCATTGCAGTCAGAGCCCAGAACGTGGGTCTAGACCAGTCTGAGAGATGGGCAGGTGCCCCATTGCCTGGTGGATGGGCAGGCCATATTCCCCTCTCCGCCACCCCCTCCCAGCCCTAATGTGTGCCCAGAGTTTTGAGCAGCACCTTCTTGCTGAGGGGAGGTTTTGAGACTCCAGTTGTGAAGGAAGCATTTCCACACAGCAGAAACGAAGGCTTAGATGTGCCTTGAGTACCCTACTGTGTGCTGGCTCTGTGGCATGTGCCCCCTCTTCCAACCTCCCAGCTTCCAGAGGGTGGGGAGTAGGTCAGAGGGACTGCTCCCCAGGGGGTGGGAGCCCCTCAGAGGGACTGTGATGTCTGGGACATCAAGGAGGGGAGGGGATGTCTACATATAGGCTCAGTGCCCACAGGGACCTCTCGAGGGGTTTGTGTGGACCAAGAAAATGCAAAACCCATACACACAGCTTTCTGATTACAGAAGTCCATCTGAGCATATTTTGGAGAAATGCATGTACATGGTATGCTTGAAATGATCTTCCTAAATACATTCCTTGAAGGGGAGTCTGTTCCAGTTGGCGAAGTTGTGCTCTCTGCAGAGGCTTCAGACTCCTCTGGCTGCAACCTGAAGGCAGGAGGATGCATGGTTGTTGCGGGTGCAGCAGCACCCCTACCTGCATGGAAGCTTGTCCTACCTCTGCGCAAGGTGGACTCCCAGTGATTGTTTTTGGAAGTTGAAGGTTGCTGTTGCCATCAGAAACAGATGGACAAAGGATAAGAGCATCAGTGTAGCTGGACGCAGTGGTTCACACTTGTAATCCCAGCGCTTTGGGAGGCTGAGGTGGGTGGATCACAAGGTCAGGAGTTCGAGACCAGCCTGGCCAACATGATGAAACCCTGTCTCTACTAAACATACAAAAAATTAGCTGGTTGTGGTGGCATGTGCTTGTAATTCCAGTTACTCAGGAGGCTGAAGCAGTAGAATCTCAACCCAGGAGGCAAAGGTTGCAGTGAGCAGAGATCACACCATTGCACTCCAGCTTGGGCAGCAGGGCAAGACCATCTTAAAGAAAAAATAAATAAATAGGTGGAAAATAAACAGTTCCATTTACCAGGAACATACTCTGTAGAAGAAAATGCCATAATGACCCCGGACCGGGGAGGCATTCTCAAACCCAGCTCTAAGACGGCAGTTAAGGCGCAGTGGGGGAGGGAAAGGTTGCAAAGTTGCCAGCTTTGCAGCCAGGCAACTCTGAGATTTGCCGCTTCCTTACTGTGTGACCTCGGGTGGTTTACTTAATGTCTCCAGGCCCCTAATCTTCCTCATCTATAAATGGACATAATAATATCCAGCTTATAGGGTCATGGGGAAGATAAAAACGTGAAACTTTATGTAAGGAACTTAGCACAGTACTTGGAATGTTAATAGAAGGGAAGAAATGATTGTTATTATCATTAGTCATACTACATTTTATTTATTTATTTTTTGAGAGGGAGTCTTGCTCTGTCACCCAGGCTGGAGCATAGTTGCTCAATCTCGGCTCACTGCAACCTCCACATCTGGGTTTCAAGCAATTCTCCTTCCTCAGCCTCCCAAGTAGCTGGCACTGTAGGCAGGAATTTTGTATTTTTAGTAGAGACAGGGTTTCACCATGTTGGCCAGGCTGGTCTCGAACTCCTGACCTCAAGTGATCCTCCCATCTTGGCCTCCTAAGGTGGTGAGATTACAGGTGCGAGCCACTTGCCCAGCCCATTTTTTTTAAAAAAAACAATTTTGGGCCAGGTGTGGCAGCTCATACTAGTAATCCCAGCACTGTGGGAGGCCTAGGTGGGCAGATCACTTGAAGTCAGGAGCTCGAGACCAGTCTGAACAACATGGTCAAACTCTGTCTCTATAAAAAGAGAAACAAAAAAGATCTGGTGGTGTGCACCTGTGATTCCAGCTACTAGTGGGGCTGAGGTGACAGGGTCACTTGAGCCATGATTGCAACACTGCACCCCAGCCTGGGTGACAGAGTGAGACCCTGTCTCAAAACACACACACACACACACTCACACACACACATACACACACACACCCCAAAATTTTTCCACCTGTGTAATTTTCTTTGAAGAAAGTTATATGGCTGGGCATGGTGGCTCACGCCTATAATCCCAGCACTTTGGGAGGCCAAGGCAGGTGGATCACCTAAGGTCAGGAGATCGAGATCAATATGGCCAATGTGGTGAAACTCCATCTCTACTAAAAAAAGAAAAAAGAAAAAAAAATTAGGCCAGGCATGGTGGTGCACTCCTGTAATCCCAGCTACCAGGGAGGCTGAGGCGGGAGAATAGCTGGAGCCTGAGAGGTGGGCATTGCAGTGAGCTAACATCTTGCCACTGTACTCTAGCCTGGGTGACAGAGTGAGACTCCATCTCAAAAAAATAAACAAATTGGCCAGGTGTGGTGGCTCACACCTGTAATCCCAACACTTTGGGAGCCAAGGCAGGTGGGTCACCTGAGGTTGAGCATTCAAGAACAGCATGACAAACACGGAGAAAATCCATCTCTACTAAAAATTCAAAAATTAGCCAGGCCTGGTGACATGTGCCTGTAATCCCAGCTATTTGGGAGGCTGGGGGCAGGAGAATGGCTTGAACCTGAGAAGGAGAGGTTGCAGTGAGCCTAGATTGGGCCACTGCACTCCAGCCTGGGCAACAAGAGTGAAATTTCATCTCAAAATAAAATGAAGTAAAATAAAATGAAGGTTGTGTGTGTGTGTGTGTGTGTGTGTGTGTGTATGTGATTAGCATATAATTATATAGAATATACGTCTAGAATATATATATATGGGATCTTTTGATATTTCATTTGATATATATAAAATCCTCAGTATATGATTATACATGGAATGTATGTATGGAATCTTATGATTGACTTTTTTCATTCAGCATAATACCCTTGAGGTTCATCTGAATTGCTGCTCACTTGCCCAATGAATGTTGGGATTGGTTGCAGTTTTTGGCTACTGTGAACAAAGCTGCTATGCACACAGGTTTTTAGTTTGTTTGTTTGTTTGTTTGTTTGTTTGAGATTAAGTCTTGCTCTGTCACCCAGGACAGAGTGCAGTGGCCCAATCTTGGCTCACTGCAACCTCCACTCCCGGGTTCAAGCAATTCTCCTGTCCAAGCCTCCTGAGTAGCTGGGATTACAGGTGTGCACCACCATACTGGGCTAATTTTTGTATTTTTAGCTGAGCGGGGTTTCACTATGTTGGTCAGGCTGGTCTCGAACTCCTAACCTTTTGATCCACCTGCCTCAGCCTCCCAAAGTGCTGTGATTAGAAATGTGAGCCACTGTGCCCGGCCTGTTTTTGTTTTTTAAATGTGAACATAAGTCTACATTTCTCTGGAATAAATGCCCAAGAGTGCAATTGCTGGGCTGTATGTTAAGTGCAATTGCTGGGCTGTATGTAAACTTTTGTATTTTTAGTAGAGACAAGGTACCTCCATGTTGGCCAGGCTAGTCTCAAACTCCTGATCTGAGGTGATCTGCTGGCCTGAGGCCCTCAATCTGCTGGGATTACAGGTGTGAGCCACCATGCCCAGCTGGCTCTTCTCTTGTAAGACTGAAACTCCCTACTAGTTAAAGACAAACTCCCCATTCCCTCCTCTTCCAGCCCCTGGCAACCACCATTCTACTCTCTGTCTTTACTGTTTTGAGTATTACTTTGCTTTCGTTTTGAGATGAAGTCTTGCTCTGTCACCCAGGCTGGAGTACAGTGGCTCAATCTTGGCTCACTGCAACCTCTGCCTCCCGAGTTCAGGTGATTCTCACGCTGCAGACTCCCAAGTAACTGGGATTACAGGCATGTGCCATCATGCCCAGCTAATTTTTGTATTTTTAGTAGAGATGTGGTTTCTGCATGTTGGTCAGGCTGGTTTCGAACTCCTGACCCGGCCAGGCAAGTTGGCTCACATCTGTAATCTCAGCACTTTGGGAGGCCAAGACGGCAGACCACAAGGTCAGGAGTTTGAGACCAGCCTGGGCAACATGGTGAAACCCTGTCTTTACTAAAAATACAAACATTAGCTGAGCATGGTGGCGGGTGCCTGTAATCCCAGCTACTCGGGAAGCTGAGGCAGGAGAATTGCTTGAGCCTGGGAGGTGGAGACAGCAGTGACCCCAAATCTGCAACCTCCTCCTCAGGTTCAAGTTGTTCTCCTGCCTCAGCCCCTCCAGTAGCTGAGATTACAGGTAGGCGCCACCATGCCCGGTTAATTTTTGTATTTTTAGTAGAGATGTGGTTTCAGCATGATGGCCAGGTGGCTGGGATTCCCCCGCCTCACCCCAGATCCCCTGGAGAGGCCAGCACAGCCCTCCTGTGGGTGGCACAGAGACAGATGCGATGAGGGTCCCTCTCCCTGGGAAGGGGCAGGCTGGGTCCAGTCCGCAGGGCACCTCCGGGCGCTGACTTAGGATGGAGTTGAGATGCGGCAGCGCTGGACCCCAGGGCCCCTGCCTGCCTCCTGGGGAGCCGGGTGACCCAGGCAGCCCCGATGTGGCTGCGGGTGTCTGAGCTCTAGCAAGGCCCCCAGGCTCCCACAGGACGGATGCGAACAGGGAGGCTGGGGAGGCCCTGCTGCCCTTGGGACTGTCCCTCTAGCCCCCAGCTTTCCGTGTTTTTTTTTTTTTTTTTTTGAGACGGAGCTTTCGCTCTTGTTAACCAGGCTGGAGTGCAATGGCGCGATCTCGGCTCACCGCAACCTCCGCCTCCTGGGTTCAGGAAATTCTCCTGCCTCAGCATCCCGAGTAGCTGGGATTACAGGCACGCGCCACCATGCCCAGCTAATTTTTTGTATTTTTAGTAGAGACGGGGTTGCACCATGTTGAACAGGATTGTCTCGATCTTTTGACTTCCTGATCCACCCGCCTCGGCCTCCCAAAGTGCTGGGATCACAAGGGAGCCTGGCCTGCATTCTGAGGCACCACACTTGAGGGACCCCAGAGCTCCCGCCAGGCCGCTTCCTTTGCAGGTTGTGAAGCTGATGTCCAGAGGGGGGCAGGGGCAGGTCCTGGAAGCTCCTGAGGCAAAGAGAGCTGATCTCAAGTTTGGGGTCCCAGGGCTCCACTCCTGTGATCTCTAGGGCTCTAGAGCCGGGAGGAGAGACTGGGCGCCTTTCGTCCACCTCTGGGGCTGGACAGAGGCTTAGCCTGTGCGGCAAGGCGAAGTTGCTTCTGTGCAGTCCAAGCCGCGGCCCCTTTAAGAGGGGCTGGTGCATCAGCCAATCGCTAGGGACGCTGCCGGCCTGCGCACCTTTACTGAGACGGCGCTTCCCGCAGGGCCGGGCAGAAACCGCTGCCTAGTAGAAGTCATGGCGGTGTGGTTGGAGAGAGCGAAAGCTGCCGCTAGAGGCGATGGCGCGGTCCCATGGAGCAGAAGAGGAGTCATCTACCAACTAGCAGAAGCCGTGGCGTCCAGAAGCGATGGCGTGGTCCCAGCCAGCAGAAGTGGCCACGCAGTCCCAGCCAGCTTTGGAGAAGCCTTGGTGGCTTCCATGTGATGGGGGAGCAGAAGGCAGGTCTCCGCGGTAAGTGGCGGGGCATGGACCCCACCGGCAACCCTCCAGACCTCCCTGCTCCTTCCCCGCGGCTCGCTTTTGGGCCCTGACTCCTTGTGGGCATCTGGGCCCCAGTAGTCTGCATGGCGGCGGTTGTGGGGTCCTGGCCGCCCCAGTGTCCACACCCTGGCCGGGAATGGTGTGCGACCCACGTCCAGCATATAGGAGCGCCTGGCCCAGAGGCCGCGGTGAAGCATGGGACCTGGGACCCTCTGAGCCCCATGGGCTTCTGAGCTGAGGTCCAGAGTTATTTTGATGTCTCAGGACCTTTAAGAAAGAGACCTCGCTGGAGCACAATAGAGCAGGGGACATCTGTAGTGTCAATTCTTTAAGGAGTCTCCAGGTATTTAGCTCTTTTCTGTGGTGTGTATTCTGATTTTCATTTTCATCTACAGTGTATGAGTTCCCTTTTCTCCAAAACCATACCCGCGTTCCTTTTTTTTTTCTTTGGAGACAATCTCGCTCTGCCCAGGCTGGAGTGCAGTGGTGCCATCTGGCCTCACTGCAACCTGCACTCCTGGGTTCAAGGGATTTCCCCGTCTCAGCGTCCTGAGTAGCTGGGACTACAGGGGCCCGCCACCACGCCAGGCTAATTTTTGTATCAGTAGTAAAGACGGGGTTTCTCAGTACTGATCAGGCTGGTCTCAAACTCTTGACCTCAGGTGATCTGCTGCCTCGGACTCCCAAAGTTCTGGTATTACTGGCATGAGCCACTGAGCCTGGCCTCTCATATTCTTAAAAAACTTCCTTGGAATATCCAGTAAGTGTGAGATTACCTGTGTGGTTTTCAATTAAACCACACACAGTTAACTTTGTTGGATAGTTAATTTTGAGGACATTTTATCTGTTGTTCTATTTTATGTCACAGAATTGCCTGTTCAGGTCCTTTGTAAAATATTAGGTTCTTTTGTTACTTTGTAGTGTTTTTTTGTGTACACCTTAGATGACAACACATGAATTACATGATTACCTGAAATTTTTGCCTAATCTATAGGATGCTTTTTTTTTATTTGGAAAGCAGTTTCTTTGCCATGCAGAACCGTTTCAAGTTGATGTAGTCTATGTTTATTTTTGCGTTTTATGCATGTAATTTTGATCATCCATATAAGGAAATACATATCAGTGACAAAGCATTTAATTGTCAGTGAGGTTTTTCTTCCAGGGTGTTTCTTTCTTTTTCTCTTTGCAAAGGTGAGCCGAGATTCAAGTGACCCAGAATATATGCTCAACCTGTGTTTTAGTTAAAAACATTTTGTGGTTTATGGTCTTTTGTTCTGGTCTTCAGGGGTTTGTTTGTTTGGTTTTTGTGGGGGGTGCAGGGGTTGATTTTCATATATCATGTAAAATCAGGGTCCTGTTTCTTTCTTCTGCATCCAGATAACATTTTTCTCAAAGGTATTCATTGAGCAGACTCTGCCTTCCACATTGTGGTGGTCTTTATCAAAGTGAGTTGAGTTTTTGCAAAAGTGAGTCCATTTTTGCGTTGATCTTGTTTTGTCCTCCCCATTTTTGTCCACAGTTCTAGGTATTGTTTTTATTCAAGTACTATATATCTGCAGCATAACTGCAGCTTGGCAGTGTGATTTAATATCGAGGATTGTGGGTCCTCACTTTGTATTTCTCAGGATTCCTTTAGATATGAATTGTTTTTATGGTTCCCTGCGATTTTTAGCAATATGTATTTATTTCTGTTAACTTTTTTTTTCACAACACAAAGGTGCATAATTAAGGGTACATTTTTCACACATATAGATTGGGTAATGGTCAAATCAGGGTACTTAAGGTCTCTGTTCCCTCATAAGGTATTATTTTTGTGTGGAGAGAACACTCAAAATTCTCCTTTCTTGTTCTTTTGAAAAATATAGTATCATTAACTCCAGTCACCAGGCTGAGGAGGAGAACACTCAGATTGATTCCTTTAAGGTTAAAATAACTTTGCTTCCATAACCAATCCCTACTCTCCCTCTAGCTCCCAGACCCTGGTAACCAATATTGTGCTTTCTACCTTTTTAAGATAGACATCTTAAGATTCAGTGTTTGTCTTTCTTGTCCCAGCTCATTATATTTAACATAATGTTTTCCAGGTTTATCTGGGTTGCTCCACATGACACTGTTTCATCATTTTGGTGGCTGAAGAATATTCCCTAGTGTATGCATATGAAAGTTTCTTGATCCCTTTGTGGATGGACAGGTAGGTAGAATGTATACCCAGTAGTGGGAATGCTAGATGGTATGCTATTTTTCTTTTCTATTCTTTGCAGGACCCCCAACTGTTTTTTATAGCATTAATACTTAATTTATGTTTCCACAAACAATTCCCCTTTGTGAAATTCATACTAGAAGTTGTCTTTTAAAATATTTTAATCTGTTTGTAATGTTCATTCTAGTTGGGAGTGAGATAAGATCTGAGTGTGGTTTGATCTTCATTTTTCTCATGCCTAGTAATGGTAACCACATTTTTGCAAATGTTACATCAGTTTCTTGTCTGCACAAATATCTCTTCAGGTTATTTGGTTTGGTTATTTTTCTGCTTTTTTTTTTTTTTTGCCAGCTGGTAGTGTTACTGGCTTGTGCCTTTTCAAAAATAACCCCTTATCCAACTGAATGTTTGCCCAAACTTTTCTTGCAATTTTTAGTATGCTTTTTCAATTTGTTCATTGTTTGTTAGGCACAAACTCTTCAGTTTGACATGGCCCCAAATGTGTATGATTTCTTGGTTAGCTGTGCTGTTGGTTACTAATGAAGAAAAAACAAAATCACTACCAAAGCAGTCCATTGTCCATGAGCCAGCAAGTGGGGCTATTTATTTATTGATTTATTTATCTATATTAATCAATTTATTTAGAGGCAAACTTGCATTTACTTATTTATTTACTGACGTACTTACGGAGAAGCAGGTCGCATTTAATTATATATTTTGAGGCAGGCTTGGATTTATGTATTTATCTATCTAATTATTTAGAGGCAGGCTTACATTTACTCATTTATTTATTTAGACACAGGCTGACATTTATTTATATACTTATGTATTTGTGTGCAGGTTTGCATGTATTCACTTTCTTAACTATGTAATGATTTAGAGGCTGACTTGCAGTTCTTGATTGATTGATTGGATCATTGATTCATTGATTTTAGATGAATTCTTGTTCTCTCACCAGGCAGGAGTGCAGTGGCACAATCTTGGCTCACTGCAACCTCCCCCTCTTTGGTTCAAGCAATTCTTTCGCCTCAGCCTCCCTTGTAGCTGGGACCCCAGGAGCGTGCCACCATGCCTGGCTAATATTTTTGTATTTTTAGTAGAGACCGGGTTTCTCCATGTTGGCCAGGATGGTCTCGATCTCTTGACCTCGTGTTCCAAGTGTCTCGGCCTTCCAAAGTGCTAGGATTACCAGATTGAGCCATGTTGCCTGGCCTTTATTTATTTATTTACATAATTACTGATTTATTTATTTATAGGCAGGAAGCCTGGATTGCATTTATTTATTTATATTTTTACTTATTTATTTATTTTAATCTTATTATTTTTTTAAATAGAAAAAGGGATTCTTTCACCATCTTGGCCAGGCTGGTCTCAATGTCCTGACCTCAGATGATGTAGCCAGCTCAGGCAGGCTCCCAATCGGTGGGGGATTAAAAACATGAGTCACCAAGAGGGGTTATTGATTGATTTATTTATCTATTAATTGATTTATTGAGAGAAAGACTTGAATTTATTTATTTATTTGCTGACATATTTATGTAGAAGCAGGTTGAATTTATGTATTTATGTATGTATTTATTTATATATTTGGAGGCAGGCTTGGATTTATGTATTTATCTATCTAGCTATCTAATTATTTAGAGGCAGGCTCACATTTACTCATTTATTTTATTCACACCCAGACTCACAACATTATTTTTATACTTACATATTTGTGTGTGGGCTTGCTTTTATTCATTTTCTTAACTGTCTGTATAATGACTTAGAGGCAGTGTCTCATTTATTTACTTATTTATTTATTTGTTTGTTTGTTTATCTTAGAGGGAGTCTTTCTCTGTCACCAGGCTGGAGTGCACTGGCCCAATCTTGGCTTACTGCAACCTTGGCCTCCTGAGTTCAAGCGATTCTTCCTCCTCAGCCTCCGGAATATCTGGGACCACAGGCGAGTGCCACTGAGCCTGGCTAATATTTTTGTATTTTTAGTAGAGACGGGGTTTCACCATGTCAACCAGGATGGTCTCGATCTCTTGACCTCATGATCCACCGGTCTTGGCCTCCCAAAGTGCTGGGATTATAGGAATGAGCCATCTCGCCTGGCCTTTGTTTATTTATTTACATAATTACTGATTTATTTACTTAGATGCAGGAAGACCTGCTTGCATTTATTTATTTATATTTTTATTTAGTAAGTTAATTATTTTCACCTTATTATTTTTTTAAATAGAGATAGGGATTTTTTTCACCATCTTGGCCAGGCTGGTCTCAATGTTCTGACCTCAGGTTTTATTGCTGGCTCAGGCTCCCAATGGGTGGGGGATTAAAAACATGAGCCACCAAGAGGGGCAGCTTACTTATTGATTTATTTATCTATCAATTGATTTATTTAGAGGCAGACTTGCATGTATTCATTTATTTATTTTCTGATGTTCTTATGGAGAAGCAGGTCGAATTTACTTATTTATTAATGTATTTGGAGGCCTACTTCTATTTATGTATTTATCTAGCTATCTAATTGTTTAGAGGTAGGCTTACATTTACTCATTTATTTTACTGAGACCGAGGCTCACAACATTATTTTTATACTTATGTATTTGTGTGCAGGCTTGCATTTATTCATTTTTTAACTATCTGTATAATGATTTAGAGGCAGTCTTGCATTTATTTACTTATTTATTTATTTCTTTGTTTGTTTGTTTATCTTAGAGGGAGTCTTGCTCTGTCACCAGGCTGGAGTGCACTGGCCCAATCTTGGCTTCCTGCAACCTCTGCCTCCTGAGTTCAAGCGATTCTTCCCCCTCAGCCTCTGGAATATCTGGGACCACAGGCAAGTGCCACTGAGCCTGGCTAATATTTTCATATTTTTAGTAGAGACGAGGTTTCACCATGTTGGCCAGGATGGTCTCGATCTCTTGACCTTGGGATCTGCCCATCTCTGCCTCCCAAGATGCTGGGATTACAGGCTCCCGCCATGATGCCTGACTAATTTATTGTATTTTTAGTACAGATGGGATTTCACCATGTTGTCCAGGCTGGTCTGAAAGTTGTGACCTCAGGTGATCCACCCATCTCAGCCTCCCAAAGTGCTAGGATTACAGGCATGAGCCAGGCAGTTTTCTAAGTTTTAAAATTATACTATTTACCCCTAGCACCAAGACTGTAGGCTCAATATAGTCTCAAAATACCGTTGCCCAATGAAAGAAAACAAGCCTTCCTGGAGAAAGTGCTGATTCCAGGTCTAGGCCAGAAATGTGTAAGGAGCCTGGAACATATTGTCACTCTGGATAGCAAATAATCCATCAAAGATTATTAGGATGATTTCAGCATGTCCGAAGGGCCAATCTGAAGGGACTCCTAACCAAAGATAGGACATTTTGTACATTAATAAGAATAATAGTTGCAGTGTATTGAGATATATCAGATATGTTTGAATATCTGCATTCATAATGATCCTTTTGAAAAAATAAAAGTGGGCTGGCACAGTTCCTCATGCCTGTAATTTCAACACTCTGGGAGGCTGAGTTAGGAGGATCACTTCATCCAGGAGTTCAAGACCAGCCTCTGCAACATAGGGGGACGTTGTCTCTACAAAACATTTTTTAAATTACTCAGGTTTGAGGGCCTGTGTCTTTGGTCCCAGCTACTCAGGAAGCTGAGATGGGAGGGTCACCTGAGCCTAGAAGTTTGAGGCTATAGTGGCATGACTGCTTCTGTGCATACCAGCCTGGGCAACAGAGCTAGACCCTCCCTGTCTAAATAAATTAATTAATAGAAGTGGTCACCATTGAAGGATATAAATGAAACAGCCCATCATTTTGAAAAATGGTAAACAGAAGAAATCAAGCCATGAACTGGCGTTTTCTATATAAGTTGTACAAGTGAGTAACACAGTTTATAAGAAGCAGCATCTCTTTTATATTTGCTGCATTTTTTTCTTCATGCAAGACCCTTCTTCAGGTAGCAGTATCTCTTTCTGGAAGTATGGCAGCTCATAAATGAAGAAGGAATGATACAACAATATTTTCATTGTTCAATCCATAATTGATCAATGGCCATTAACATCACCAATTAAAAAAAAAAGATGTCCAGAAAGTACACACCTCCTCCTAGAAGAAACTAGCACAGTCTTTGCCCTGACCCTCAAGTCCAACCTGAATCTCACCAAGTCTTGAGATCAAACTACTAATTTGTCAAAACTAGAACAAAGTGAAGAGCAAGTTAACCAACATCACAAGATACAATTAGCAAAATTCACAGTATGAGAAACAGCATAATAAGAACATACTTAGCATAATCCAAACTATGGGGAAGTGGCCTGATTTATTCAATAAATTGACTGCAAGGGACAGCACAGAGATCAAAGTGAGAAGTTGTCAGGATCAAAAAAACCCTAAGAGGTGAATCAGACAATTCCAAGGAGAGACTTTATTTGGATCCTGATTCACACAATAAATACATGAAATGACTGGAAATTTGGAGCTAGAAGGAGATTGACAGTGATAAAGAGTAATGGTGTGAGATGGTTGGTTGATGATTGTATTGGGATTATTATATTTTTCAAAGAGTTCTTGTCTCCGGGCATGGCGGTTCACACCTATAATCTCAGTAGTGTGGGAGGTCAAGGCAGGAAGATCCTTTGAATCCAGGAATTCTAGACCAGCCTGGGCAACATAGCAAGACCCTGTCTCTACTAAAATGCAAATTAAAAAATTAGCTTGGCATAGTGGTGTGAGTCTGTAGATGCTCAGGAAGTTACTTAGGAAGCTGAGGCAGGAAATGCCACAGTGAACCAAGATCATGCCACTGAACTGCGGCCTGGTTGACAGAGACCTTGTCTTGAAAGAACAAACAAGAATCATATCTTTTACAGACATATACCAAGACAGTCAGGGAGGAAATTATATGATGTGTGGGATTTGCTATAAAATCATGAGCGGAAAGGAGAAGCATGTAGGAGTATACATGTAAAGAGATTGGCCATCAGATAACAAATATCTGAATCTGCTGCTGAGTAGGTGAAAGTCACTACACTAGCCTCTTGTTCCAAAAAGCTCAAATAGAAAGTTTGTGTAAAAATCCACTTCATGGATTTGTAACAAGCATTGAATAAGATCATGTATACAGTGTTTTATCACCATGGCTTGTAGGTAGTCAGCACACAAACATTGTTTTTAGTTTTGTATAGTCCCTGTCTATTAATCACACCCAAAAAAGGTATGTTGTTCACACCAAGAGCTCTGGCCCATGGACCTTTGTCCACTTGGTGGTAATTTATTGGAATTTGAGGTCTAGAATGAGGAAATACCAGCCTTCAGAGCCCCAGGCCTACTATGAAATAGCAAAGCCAATGATCCCAGATGCCTTTGTGGCACACCTAGTAAGTAGGACCATTTTTCTCTCACCTTGTAAGAACACTTGAGTTCATTCTCTCATTTTTCATTCATTTCTTATAAGTCATGTATTGGGTACTAGGGATCCATAATACAGTTGGCCCCTAATTGACTGGAAGCATCATTTTCAAAGCATCATTTCAGGATGAGTATTTTGCATCAAGTGGATTCAAGGAACAGTGTGAAGGATCCATGGCCTCAATCACCATGAAGACCCTCCCAAGAGCCAACCATCCTGGGCACATATAAATGAGTGGAGACATGGAACTCACCCTTACAAGGCCTAGAACCTGACAGAGCATACAAGACAGAAGCCCAAATAACTAAGAACAGGAAGCTGAAGGTGAGAGGTGGGCCCCAAAGGATTTTGTGAAAATGCTTTGTGTTTGTGGATTTATCACGCAGAACGAAGCCTTTGTTTTTATTCACAGGTTAGACACACTCTCTATATAGAATCTGTGAAGGGACATTTCTGGGTTTTTTTGAGGCCTATGGTGAAAAATGGAATATCTCAGGCAGCTCAGGATGAATAATGCAGTCACCAAGAGGGGCAGGGTGGCCAGCAGCAGGGATGGGCATTGTGAGCCACTGGCCTGACTTTGTTGTTTGCTGGTAACCAGATGACATAGGAGGCTTTGTGGGTGAAAGGCATCAGCTAGGGCCAGCAGCCTTCAGTCAGAAGCTGGTAGTGGGAGGAGGAAGAGCTCTGACGACTCTCATAGAAGTGGCACTTGCTCTGTTGCTTGGCTTTTTCTTTCTTTTCTTTTCTTTTTTTATTTTGTGTGTTGCTTTTTTTTCTTGTTTTTTTGTGTTGTTTTGTTTTGTTTTTTTCTTTTTTTTAATTTTAGGTTTGGTTGTACATTTGAAGAACATGCAAGATTGTTGCATAGGTACACACGTGGCAGTGTGATTTGCTGCCTTCCTCCCCATCACCTATATCTGGCATTTTTCCCCATGCTATTGCTCCCCAACTCTCCACCCCCTGCTGTCCCTTCCCTATTTCCCCACAACAGAACCCAGTGTGTAGTGCTCCCCTCCCTGTGTCCATGTGTTCTCATTGTTCTTTTTTTTTCTTCTGATTTTGTGTGTTGCTTTGTTTTGAAAGTCCCCTTTTAGGTCACCCATGGGGAATTGCCTAGGCTCCAAGGATGACCTAGGTTGTGCCTACTGCATGCAGGCAGTGCTGTTGTGTTGTGAGACTCAGGTAGTGGATCCTACACAAATAGCAACCACCACTGCAGAGCCTGCCATATTACATTCTGGAGTGGCGGAAGTCCAGCACGTGCAGCCCATCAAGCGGCGCAAAGGTAAAGAAGCCACGGGTGCCATTTTCTCTCTGGCCACCACCTCCCACACCTCCTTCCCATCCCCTCACCCCAGAGACATCCTCAGCTTTCAGCTCCCTTCTGCCTATCGCCAGCTTTCCCAGGGCTGGGCATGGGGGACAAAGGCTATTCCTGCCTCTTGTCTTTGTTGTTGAGCCTTCTAGCTTGAGGCATTTTTGGTCTAGTCTCTCTCTCTCCACGGTGAAAATTCAGATACTCCAGTTTTGGAGTCTCCATCCTATTCTTTAGCCTTACCTATCCAGCTGCTATGGTACCTCAGTAAAGGAGCTGGTTAAAGGCCCAATCATTTCTTTTCTCCTATTCGATAAGGAAGCTAATAATTTGGACAATTCAGACTCAAATATTTGGAGACTTCTTAAATTTTAAATAGAGTTTGCCATGGAAGAGATTATATGGTGTTCTTAATAGATGGTTTGAAGTCACCTTGACAGAAGCAGCTTTATTTCTTCTAATTGTAATTTGAAAACCGAAGGAAAAATTGAGGGACATGCTTAAAATGACTGCAAAAGGTAAGAAATGTTACTGCCAGAGCTGTAAAAAAGTTGTTTTGGTTTTGGTTTTACCCAAAAGTTTAGCTGAGGAGCTCTGATTACTTTAAAATTCCCACGTTGACATGAATGTCTCTTCAGCCCTACTCCAGTAACTTCACGGGCTTTGTTTACCTCCTTGTTCTGAAAGACAGGTAGAGCTAGCTCATGGTTACAGGTTCCAAAAGAGATGAAATGACTTTAGATTTTAATTTGTAAGGTAAAGACTTGAGAGTTAGAAGGCCAGACCCTGCCTGTGGAAAAGAGTTTGTTTTCATGGCCCCCCTTCCTACAGGATGGGAAAGGGGAGGAGAGAGGAAGCATCTCATTTTTTTGCTATGGTCAAATTGAAGAGAAATACTAACACTTGTAAGACAGGAGAGGAGCATTTCGTTACTAAATCAGTCAAACATTTGTGTATCACTACATCTGTTGAGCAAATGAAAGCTACCAGACTCAGAAAACCAGAGATGCTAATGGAACTGACATTAGTAACCAGGGTTTTCTACTGAGTTCAGCGCCCAGGATGACTTCCAATAACAACCACCCTCCCCTCCACACACTTTTCTCAGGATTGGAAAGCTCAGGCAGCCCAGGATGAATAATGCAGCCACATGGGGGGAAGCAGCAGGGATGGGCATTGTGAGCCATTGGGTGCTGTGGGGCAGGGCATTGTGAGCCATTGGGTGGGGCTGTGGGGCAGGGCATTGTGAGCCATTGGGTGGGGCTGTGGGGCAGGGCATTGTGAGCCAATAGCCTGACTTGGTTGTTTCCTGGTAACCAGGTGACATAGCCTTTTTGGGTGACAGGCATCAGCCAGGGCCAGCAGCCTTCAGTCTAAAATCCTGATTTTAGAAATAGATGAATCTAGTAACAGATAATTCTGTAACCAGTTCCTTGAACAAAAACTAAGTCCACTGAAATGGAAAACATTATATCATAAAGACATAGAAATATGATCAGCTCATTTCTTTCATTTTAATGGCAGAGATTTTATTAGTATGGAGAAAATGTCTTACAGGTCTTGTGTTTAAACTTCAGTTTGGCTCTTACCTTCTTTCACAGAATAATTAAGCCTCACAATGGGTGTGCCTTTGTAACAAGGAAGTGCTGTACTCCCTTTTCAGAATATTGAAAAATTGTAAAAGAATAAACAAATAATTATGAGACTTAATAGATTGTACCTTATACACAAAGCATGCAAGTACCTGTGGAAACTTCTTGCTTGGTGGTGTACGGCAAGCCTCTGTGTAATATTCTGTCTGATTTGGTAGATGAGGTAGTGAGAGAACAAAGTGAGCCTTTTCCTTATTCTTTAGGATGTAAAGCATGTTTTCATGTACATCTTATTGGAACCTTCCAAATACAAACAAGGCCTGTGTATATTCCCCTTATGTTGCTGATGCAGAAAGGAAGGCTTAGAGATCTGAAGGGACTGTGTGAGACAGCTACTGAACAGAACTGAGGTTCTAAGTCATCAAAGTAGACATTGGAGGTCGTAGTGACGCTTAACTCATTTCTTAAAGAACTTGACAAACTCCAGAATGCCTTAAATTTTAAGGTCTACCTATAATATAGACCTCTCTTAGAACTTACCTTCATCTTGATTAGTTCCTCTTGCATTTTATTTTACACAACTTACAGGCAACATTTACCTCTCTGTTTTCCCTCCTAAAGAGATGGGTCCTCACTGTGTGGCACAGGCCAGCTTCTGACTCCTGGCCTGGGCTCAAGCACTCCTGCTGCCTCAGCCTGTAGGACAGCTGACAATACAGACATGTGCCGTTTCTCCTGGCTCTACCTTCTGTCTATACATTTATTGAAACAGATAAGGATAAAAGTAGGGGTAACAAAATGGCTACATTTACCAGTCAAATTAACAGTTTAATGAATATGGAAGAGTTTCTTCTGCTAACTGATTTGAAGCTGAGAATGCCCTGGTTGGGAGAAGCTGGCAAGAGGGCAGGTAAGCCCCACACATTAAAGCACAGGCTGCGAGTAAGAAGTGTTAAGTCAGAACAGTTGAAGAAAATAGTTTGTGAGCACAGAATTTACCATTTTATGTGTATGTGCATGACAGTAAGTGTCTATATGTCTCTTCAAACGTATTTTTGTGGTATTCAGTAAAGAGATAACAGAAACCTCAATTTCAGTGTTTATTCTTTGGCCAGGTGCAGTGGCTCATGTCTGTAATCTCAGCATTTTGGGAGGCTGAGGTGGGCGGATTACCTGAGGTCAGGAGTTTGGGACCAGCCTGGCCAACATGATAAAACTTCCTCTCTACTAAGTATACAAAAAATTAGCCAGGTGTGGTGGCACATACCTGTAATCCCAGCTACCTGGGAGGCTGGGGCAGGAGAATCACTTGAATCTGGGGGTTGCAGGTTGCAGTGAGCCGAGATCGCACCAGTACAGTCCAGCCTGGCTGGGCAAATAAAACAAGAAAGAAACATGTTCAGAACATTCAGAACACTCAATACAAAGTATAGACACATTCAAAGTTTGTTGTTAATATTTTTATTTCAGAAGATTGTGTATCACTTTTCTTGGAAAGTGATGAATTCCTAGTTAGATGTGAAACATTTTAGCCTTTCTATTATGATGAATTGAATTCTTTTGGTGACTTAGACAAATATCACAGCAACCAGTGCTCCGACCATTCTGTGGCACACTAAACAGTCATTTAAAGCCATCAGGCAGAGCAGGGCGCACTGCTGTGGAAAGACATCCTGGAGTGCTCTCTAGGTGGCAAGTCCTGTTTCAGGAACTTATGCCATAAATGATGCTCTGCTTCATTGTTCTCTTCTGAAATATTTCAAAAGAACATTGTGTCTTGAAGCCATTTCAAAGAGAAGTTCTAAGAACCCAGTTTAGATCTCAGACTCAAACATATTCCATCCTATCATGCCTTTATTTAGCAGTATATCTAATATGACCAGGGGTAATATAAGTAACAGATTAAGATAGTAGGAGCTCATTATCCAATTTTATCACTACCCATCGACTTTTCATACAGCCTTTTGTGTTCTTACCATAGGAACGCTGCTAGTTTGTTGGCTCTCTCAAGTGGGGTCAGGGAAGGGAAAGAATGGGCATATGATGTGGAGACCTCTGAGCAGCAGGTCTTTCAGCTTTCTAGTAGCTATTTTGGAACCCTCCTTTTAAAATAACTCTCAGTATGTTTCATGTAAAAGATGTAGAATATAAAGAAAAGTTATTTATTACACTCAGAATACCCAGAGCTCACTTGTGTTACTGTTTGAGTAACACAAATTTTTGGTATGCATTTGAATATAGTATTTTATTTCACAAACTTTTTTGTAAAATAAAACTTTCTGATCATTTTATATGTGCTGCCTTGTAACTTTTACTTAAAGCAGTGAAATAATGGTATAAGTTTCTCAAACAGTACTTGACAGCTAGAGAGCACTCCAGGATGTCTTTGCCTGCCAGGGCACCCTGCTGTACTTGATGACTTTGAATAACTGCTTAGTGTACTACAGACTGGTTAAAGCACTATTTATTTAGTTATTCAAAAGCTATCTTTTTTTGAAAAGTCAGAAACAATCCTGTCATGTTTGATTCTAAGTCATGTTTGATTCTAAAAACACACATAAAGCACATTTTGATGACAGATGCGTGATATCTCGTTATAAAATTCAGATAATATATTTTGTCTAGTGACAAACTGATGAAATGAGTCACTTTGGATTTAAGGTATTTTAGTGTCAAATATACTTGTGTCAAAATGCAGTTACCGTTGACTTCTAAATAGACATTAACATTCTTCATTTATATTTTTGTGGATCTTTATAGCTTGTGTCATTAATTCTAAATAGCTACCAGTTTAAAAAATCTGATGCTGTCTTAGATGATAAAACAAAAGACAACTTTAGCAGATCTGGGAGAATTGGGAGAAACTTAACTAGTTTGGGGTAAAATGAAATATATGTATTGAGCAATTTTAAATAGCCTGGCAGTGTTGCAGATGCAGGGCAAACAGCGGAACACAACAGAGAGCCCCATTCTAAGTCTGACCCTTACATTTGATAGAGAAGTAAGGGCAGCCAGCACATGAATAGTCAAGAATGGCAGGTGGTGACGTGCTAGGAAGAAAGTAAAGCAGGGTAATGGATTAAAGAGGAGGGCAGTTTTATGGACGGTTGGCGCTAAGAGCTGGATGTTCTCTTTCAGTGACATGTGAACAGTCTTAAAAGTGAAATGGGCTGGGTATAGTGGCTCTCACCTTTAATTCCAGCACTTTGGAAAGCCAGGATGAGGGGATTCCTTGAGGCTGGAAGTTTAAAACCAGCCTGGCCAACACAGAGACATCCCATCTTATTTATTAAAAAAAATAAAAAAGTGAGGGGAACCCTGTGAGGATGATGGGAGTGGGCTTCCAGAGATGGATATCAGCTTTGGAATTCCTGAAATTGAAACAAAGTTTTAGGCAAAGGACAGAAAGACGCAAGGGTGGCTGCAGCAGAGTAAAAGGATGCTGGGATGAATAAGGTGGGCTATAAGTCCACTCACAGAGAAGATGGACTTATAGCCCAGGATTACTATTAATTCTCTAAGAAAAAGACTGAGCAGCAGCTCCGTGTGAATATACTGTAATACAGGAAAGGGTGGTAGCAGGCTGGTGGAGTAGTTCAGGTGAGAGCCGACAGTGAACAGAAAAACAACAATGACCTGAAAGAGGCTGATGAGAAAAATCAAGTGAAACTAAAAGTAGATAATAAAGTGGTAAATAGACAAGTCACAGAAAAAGAAATGCAGGTGATTTTTAAACACATCTTCACTCATAAAAGAAAGGCAAATGACAGCTCTACTGCAGTGTCTCTCCTATTGACATTTCATATATTGCTGGTGGAAATGCAAAAAGGCTCAACTCCATGAAGGGGAATTTGGCACAATCTCACAACCATGAAAATGCATTTGAACCAGACATCCTACTTTGAGGAATTTTATTCTGAAGGTATGCTCCACAAATATAAAACAAACTATGTGCAAAGTTCTTGTTGCATTATTTTCAATAGTTAAATATTGGAAATAACTGACATGCCTAGTAAGGGACTAGTAAAATAAGCTGGTACTTCTACATAAAGAAGTATGGAGCTGTAAAAAAGAGTAAGATGTCTTTTTATTGCTATGGAGTGATTCCCAAGATAGGGTATGCAGAAAAGCCAAAAGGAAAACATACAGTAATATACATGAAAGAAAGCAGGAGAAATAATGTGTATTTCATTATTTAAAAATGAAAGACAACATTGGGGAAGTCTTGATGATGACCTGTGACAGTTTTCTCCTACCTTCACTGGGTAGCCAAAGTGCATATTTTCTCAAAATAATATTTTGCTATGGGTTCTGCAAAGGATGTTAACTGTGCACTTTTCGCCTTTGAGTTAGAGAAAGCTTTGCTTTGTAATCTATTGTGCCTTGTGTCGAATACAGACTGCTCTTTGATTTTATTCTATCCTCTCAATGTTTTGATTTAGGTGTAATATGGGAATTATACTTGTGTTACATATGAGGAGGCTGGTTCTAAGAACAAGACTGAGTAGATCAAGAATGTAAATTCTAGATATATGGCATATAAAACTATTAAATTTATAAATTTATGATTTATAAAAAAAATTTATAAATCATAAATTTATAAAAAGGCATGCATATAGCCTGCCTTAAATACTACCTTGTCTAAAAAACTTTTTTTTTGTTTAGTTTCCTAAAGCAATTAAGCCTCAGGATGAAAACAGCAATATTAGATAATGAGAAATAAAATGGGGATACTTGTAACACAGTAATGCTTTTTATTTTGAAGAGACAGGGTCTTGCTTTGTTACCCTGGCTGGAGTGCAGTGGCGTGATCATAGCTCACTGCAGCCTCAATCTCCTAGGCTCAAACGATCTTCCCACCACATCTGGTGACATTTAGAAGATTTTTTGTAGAGACGAGTTCTCATTGTGTTGCCCAGGTTGGTCTTAAACTTCTGACTTCAAGCAATCCTCCTGCCTTAGCCTCTAAAAATGTCAGGATTATAGCTGTGGGCCAGCACACCTAGCCCAGAAATGTTCCTAAAAGTCTGAAAAAATAAGTTAAATTTTATTAAGAAATATATAAAAAGATAAACATATACTATGGTATATAAAATGTCACAGTTCAGTCATGGTCACTACAACAGTGACTAAAATATCCAACAGTTGAGGCAAGTCTGAGAACAAAGAGGGACGTACAGGATTGGTTTGGAAGCCAGAATTAGGATTGTCAGAGCTGGAAAAGCAGAAACAAGGCAAGAGTGTGCCCAGGAGTGGGGTACGCAGCAGCTCTGTGGTATGCCATGTGCACAGGAGTGTGGCACGCAGCAGTTCCATAGTATGCCATGTGCACAGGAGTGTGGCACGCAGCAGCTCTGTGGTATGCCATGTTCACAGGAATGGGGCACGCAGCACCTCCGTGGTATGCTATGTGTCCTCTTTTACATCAGGCCAGCTCCAGCCCAGCAGATGAGAATCACCTGATGGGTGGAAAGAGTGGACTCAGGTAAAATCTCTGATCATGCATCATAACTGAGAGACTTAAAATGTTTGCCTTATGGGTCATAAAACTAATAAAAGTGACAACATAGGGATAATAGAGTAGGTCAGTAAATGCGGTAAGCCACCTGCCACCTCTCCAGAGCTTCAACCATCCCATGGAAATGTTGGGGCAGCAGGATTTGACAAAGCCTGTGAGAAGAGCTCTCAGTCCAGGGTCCAGGGCATGATCTAGAGGACTCAGGTGTTCCAGGATCTCTATCCCCAGGGAACCAACTACATTATTACCTCAGACCTATCACTCCTCACTGTGGTGACTCTGGGCAAGTCACTCAAAACATCTGAGTTTTAATTCACTGAATTGGAAAATATGGGTTGTAGCCCCTTCCTTGCCTGTCCCTTGAAGCTGATGTGGGGATTAGGGAAATCACAGATCTCTGTCATGAGCTGGAAATCATGTGGCCACGGAAACTGAAGTCACTTTCTGTCCTACCCTGCACAGGAGACATGCAAGTTTTCTCTCTATATTTAACCACTACCAAGTATCTGGATTATCCTTCTCCACATTGAATGATTGAACATTTTAGGGCATTTACAAAAAAAAAAAAAAAGTCTTTAAGTCTTTATCTGCATTTCATCTTCTTAGGTGCTATAAACTTTAGTAGGTCTACAGCATAGATCTAATGTTTCTACATATCAGAATAGGGAAGAGAAGTACAGATGGGTTCATATCCCTCTCCCGGGTATGAGCAGATTCCAAGTAGGATTAGAACCCAGCCTATTTTTAGTTAGTTGGATCTTCTGCTTTTCTATATTGTCTCATCTGAATAAAGGTATCTGCCTGGACAAACAAATCTTCCTAGAACCCAGATCTAATTCAGGTAGCATTGAAAAGCAGTCAGTAAAAACCAGGATCAAAAGTTTAAACTGAATAAGTTTTTACTAATTTCTCTGTGGTCTTCTGCCAGCAAGATGTCAAGCACTGTCTTTATTATAATACATTTCTACCTTGCAGGTTTGGCTGGCCGTGCCAGGAGCTGGTTAAAAAAAAAATGGAGGCATAAGAAAATTTGCCCCATTGAAAATGAAGGTAGGGTGGAAATTATATCCTTAAGTTTATTGAAGCAAATCATTCCAGTTTACTCATCCAGTGTCCCAGAGAAACTCAGTAAATGCTGTGTCAGGTTCTTCATTTATTTCATTTGTTCCCATTTAAATGCATTAAATCAATGGGTGATGCAACTACACAAGTAAAGTTACGTTGACAACTTAGAGTTTGGTTCTTTTTGTTTGTTAGTTTTTGTGAAAAGGTCTCATTTTGTCACCCAGGAGTGCATTGGTGCAATCACAGCTCATTGCAATCTTTACCTTCCCATGTTCAGGTGATCCTTCTACCTCAGCCTCCCAAGAAGATGGCTGTAATGCACATGCTTTATACCAAGCTATTTTTTTAATTTTATTTTTTTTTTGTAGAGACAGGGTTTCACAGTGTTGCTCAGGCTTGATTCACTTTTGATAGTAAAGGACATCTCAAATGTTTAGACATTTGCTTTTAGTTTGGACAATTATGAATACAGCAATTATAAACCTTCTTGTGTCTTGTTTGGAAACATAATTTTTAAAATGTAACTAAGGAAATACTAAAATTATGATTACTTGCTCGTATGGTAAAACTACATTTCTTTGTAAGAATTTTGGTAGAATTTACCAGTGAAGTCATCTGAAGGTAGTGTTTTTGTTCTTTTGAGAAGATACTAATTATTGATTCAATTTCTAATATAAATATAGGCCTATTCAGATGATTCATTTATCATGAGAAGACTTTTAACCTTCTGAAAGAGATTCAAAAAGTTAGCTCATTTTATATAATGTTTCCAAGTGTGAGCACAGATGTGTTCACGTATTTCTTTATTATTATTTTTTGATTTCACTCCTCTTGAATTGATATTATTAGTACATCGTGACTTCCTTCTTTTCCTTGGAGGTTAGACAAGGTAGAGGTTTATCAGTGTTATTGATCTTTTCAAAGAACTGGTTTTTGGTTTTGTTGATTTTCTCTGATGATTTCCTGTTTTTTATTTTATTAATTTCTGCAATCATTATTTATTTTTCCTCTATTCGACATTATACTGCTGTTTTTCTTTCATTGCCCAAGGTGGAAGCTAGATTATGAATTTAGATTTGAATTTTCTCATTATTGACACAGCATCATGAATGTTACTAAATATAACATCATTGAAATGCACACTTAATTAAAATAATAAATATGTAAGCTTTAAAAATTTTAAAAATACAACAGGATAGATGATAAATGTAGTAGCAGGGATATGTAGATCCACAGAAGTTAAATAATCCTGTAACGTTTCATAAAATGTTGGGATTTGCCTAGACCTTTACGTGGGCAGCAGGTGTGATGAGACGCTCTGACTGAGCCTTACAGTGCCATTCTGTATTAACCGGTTCTCAGACTATTTCACACTGATGAGGTTGCCCTAGCTAGAAAGCCAAGGCTTTTTCATTTCTTACTTCCCCTCTCCTTTGCCTTCCTTCAGCACCAAGGAGAGTGGCCCAGCAGCAGCTCAGTTCATGCTTGTCAACAGCCCACCTCCATACACTGCAGCTTCGGGCCACATCCCCCAAGCCTCCTTGTGGGATTCCTCAGCATCACCAGTGCATTGACTGTCTCTCTGTGTTCTCCTAGCTCCTGTTGAAGAACCAAAGGAGTGCAAAACTCTTTTTCACCTGACATCACCTGATCATGAGACATCACCTGACATAGTAAGATGCATTTCTTTGTCTTGAAGAGAAATGTCTTTTTCTGGAGCTTCTAGAATATCAAGTGAATATCATTTTTGACTGCCATTGTGAATCAGGTCTCAGCTGTCATGAACTCTAGCTACCAGTCACTGTAATGTATGACCAACTGAGGCCTGATTAATGATGTCAGTCAAAAGATGGCATCACTTACAAACTAGTAGTGAGCATATTTCTCAGTAGCAACATTTTCTTCCTGAAAAATAATTTTGTATTTGGCAGCCAGCAAGGACTTGCTAAACATTCCATGAAAACCCACTTCCTTGGTGGCTCACACATGGAATCCCAGCACTTTGGGAGGCTGAGACAGACAGGGCCAATATAATGAACCCCCATCTCTACTATAAATACAAACATAAGCCGAGCATGGTGGCAGGTACCTGTGGTCACAGCTAGTTGGTAGGCTGAGACAGGAGAATTGCTTGAACCCAGGAAGCTGAGGTTGCAGTGAGCCGAGATCATGCCACTGCACTCCAGTCTGGGTGACAGAGCAAGAATCTGTCCAAAACCAAAGACAGAAACCCACTGCCCTTTCCACAAGCATTCTCTATGCTTTATTTGGGGGTCAGTGACTTGATCACTGTTTGATACCTGGTTTTCTAACACCACTAAGTGAATAAAAGACCTGTGCAGTCAGGACCCAGTATGATCTGATCCTCATGGTGGTTTTTTTCCCCTCTAACTGCAGGAAAATGCTACAGATGAATATCAACACAGTACGTATTCTTTTTTCAACATAGCTTCATTAGGATGTAGTTGACATGTAACCCAATTCACCCATTTAAAGTGGGTGATTCAGTGTTTCTACTGTATTTAAAGGCTATGCACCCATGTTACAATCTAATTTTAAAACCTTTTCATTCCTCCTCAAAAAAACCTCATTAGTAGAAACTGCTCTGTTTTTCCCAATCTTGCACCCCTGGTTCTAAGCAGCCCTAATGTACTTCTTATTTCTATATACAATGCCTTTCTGTATTAACCGGTTCTTAAGGTGACTGTTTCATGTTGATGAGTTTGCCCTAGCTAGAAGGCCAAGGCTCTGCCCCTCTCCTTTTCCTTCATTCAACACCAGGAGAATGGTGCAGCAGCAGCTCAGTCCATGCCTGTGAACCACCCAGCTCCACACACTCAAGCCCCTCCATATACACATTCCCCAAAGCTTTTTGTGAGATTCCTCAGCAGCACCAATGCACTGACTGTCACTCTGTGTACTCCTAGCTCCTGTTGATGACTCAGAGGAGTGTACACATGGCAGTAAGAAGAAAGAGGTTGCCTCTGACATGGTAAATTTCTTTGGAAATTTTTTTTTCTGGGGCTTCTAGACTATAAAGTGAATATGATTTTTGACTGCCATCATTAATTAGGTCTCAGGGGTCTTAGACTCTAGCGGCTGGTCACTGGAGACTGTGACCAACTGAGGCCTGATGGATGATGTCCATCAAAAGAGGACATCACCTACAAACTGGTCGTGAGCACATTTCTCAGTAGCAGTGTTTTCTTCTTGAAAAAATAATTTTGTATTTCCTAGAGAACATAGACACCTGCTAAATTTTCCAAATGCACTGCATTTTCTGCAAACATCCTCTATGCGTCATCTGGGACCAGTGACTTGATCACCGTTCTACATCTGGTTTTCTCATTGTTGTTGTTGAGACAGAGACTTTCTCTGTCACCCGGCTACAGTGCAGTGGTGTGATCTCAGATCACTCTAACCTCCACGTACTGGGTTCAAGCAATTCTTCTGCCTCAGCCTCCTGAGTAGCTGGGACTACAGGCTCATCGCACCACCATGCCAGGTTTCTTGTACTTTTTGGTAGAGACAAGGTTTCACCATGTTGGCCAGGATGGTCTCAATCTCTTGACTTCATGATGTGCCTGCCTCAGCCTCCCAACATGCTGGGATTACATGCGTGAGCCACCGTACCCAGCCAGCCATCTGCTTTTCTAATGTCACCAAATGAATACAAGATCTGTGCCAACAGGACCCAGCATGATGTAATTTTCATGGTGTTTCTTTTTCTTTTATTGCAGGAGAAGCCTGCAGCCCAGTATCACAACCGTACGTATTCTGTTTCGTTTAAACAGTTACTGAGACATAGTTGACATGCAAACCAATTCACCCATTTAAAGTAGGTGCCTTTCTGTATTAACTGGTTCTTCAAATGACGATTTCACATTGATGAGGTTGCCCTAGCTTGGAAGCCAAGGCTCTTTTATTTCTTTCTGCCCCTCTCCTTTTCCTTCCTTCAGCACCAAGGAGAATTGTCCAGCAGCAGCTCGGTCCATGCTTGTCAAACGCCCAGCTCCATACACTCCAGCCCGGTCCACATTTCCCAACGCTTTTTGTGAGATTCCTCAGCAGCACCAGTGCACTGACTGTCACTCTGTGTCCTCTTAGGTCCTGCTAAGGTCTTACAAGACCTTATCATAGAAGACATTGAGGATGATGAGCTGTTCCCTGATGTGGTAAGATGCATTTCTTTGTCTCAAAGAGAAATTTTTATTTCTGGGGCCTCTGGAATATCAAGTGAATATCATTTTTGACTGCCATGAATCAGACCTCAGTTGTCATGGACTCTAGCGACCATTCAGTGGAGTTTCTGACCAACTGAGGCCTGATTGACAATGTCAGTCAAAAGATGGCATAACTTACAACCTGGTCGTGGGCATATTTCTCAGTAGCAACATTTTCTTCTTGAAAAATAATTTTGTATTTTTCAGCCAGCATAGATACTTGCTAAATATTCCAAACCCACTGCATTTTCTGCAAGGATCCCCTGTGCTCCATTTGGGGCCAGTGACTTCATCACTGTTTGACATCTGTTTTTTTTGTTTAGTTTTGTTTTTGAGACAGAGTCTCTCTGTCACCAGGCTACAGTGCAGTGGTGTGATCTCAAATCACTGCAGTGTCCTCCTACTGCATTCAAGCAATTCTCCTGCCTCAGCCTCCTGAGTAGCTGGCACTGAAGGCTCTCACCACAACCACACCCACCTTTTTTGTAGTGTTTAGTAGAAACGGGGTTTCACCATGTTGGCCAGGATGGTCTCAATCTCTTGCCCTCATGATCTGCCCGCCTCAGCCTCCCAACATGCTGGAATTACATGCGTGAGCCACCGCGCTCAGCCTGCCATCTGGTTTTCTCATGTCACCAAGTGAATAGAAGACCTGTGCCAACAGGACCCAGCATGATGTAATCCTCATGGTGTTTCTTTTTCTCTTATTGCAGGAGAAGCCAGCGGCCCAGTATCACCACCGTACGTATTCTGTTTCTTTTAAACAGTTACCGAGATGTAGTTGACATGCAAACCAATTCACCCATTTAAAGTAGGTGATTCAGTGTTTTTACTATATTTACAGGGTTGGGCAATGCAATCATTATTAGAATCTAAATTTAGAAGCTCTTGTTTCCCTCTCAGAAAACCCCCTTAGTAGTGACTCCTCTGTTTTCCCCAACCCCCCACACCCCTGGTTCTAGGCAGCCCTAATCTACTTCCTGTTTCTATAGTACACTGCCTTTCGGCATTAACCGGTTCTTCAAATGATTTCACATTGATGAGGTAGCCCTAGCTAGAAAGCCAAGGCTCTTTCATTTCTCTGCCCCTCTTTTTTACCTTCCTTCAGCACCAAGGAGAATGGTTCAGCAGCAGCTCGGTCCATGCTTGTCAAACGCCCAGCTCCATACACTCCAGCCCGGTCCACATTTTCCAAAGCTCCTTGTGAGATTCCTCAGCAGCACCAGTGCTCTGACTGTCACTCTGTGTCCTCTTAGGTCCTGCTAAGGTCTTACAAGACCTCATCATAGAAGACATTGAGGATGATGAGCTGTTCCCTGATGTGGTAAGATGCATTTCTTTGTCTCAAAGAGAAATTTTTATTTCTGGGGCCTCTGGAATATCAAGTGAATATCATTTTTGACTGCCATTATGAATCAGACCTCAGTTGTCATGGACTCTAGAGACCAGTCAGTGGAGTTTCTGACCAACTGAGGCCTGATTGACGATGTCAGTCAAAAGATGGCATAACTTACAGCCTGGTCGTGGGCATATTTCTTAGTAGCAACATTTTCTTCTTGAAAAATAATTTTGTATTTTTCAGCCAGCATAGATGCTTGCTAAATATTCCAAATTCACTTGCTGCTAGATGCTGCATTTTCTGCAAGCATCCCCTGTGCTCCATTTGAGGCCGGTGACTTTATCACTGTTTGACATCTGGTTTTTTTGTTTAGTTTTGTTTTCGAGACAGAGTCTCTCTGTCACCAGGCTACAGTGCAGTGGTGTGATCTCAGATCACTGCAGTGTCCTACTGCATTCAAGCAATTCTCCTGCCTCAGCCTCCCAAGTAGCTGGGCCTGGAGGCTCTCACCATGACCACAACCACCTTTTTTGTAGTGTTTAGTAGAAACAGGGGTTCACTATGTTGGTCAGGATGGTCTCAATCTCTTGCCCTCATGATCTGCCCGACTCAGCCTCCCAACATGCTGGGATTACATGCGTGAGCCACCGCGCCCAGCCTGCCATCTGGTTTTCTCATGTCACCAAGTGAATACAAGACCTGTGCCAACAGGACCCAGCATGATGTAATCCTCATGGTGTTTCTTTTTCTCTTATTGCAGGAGAAGCCAGCGGCCCAGTATCACCACCGTACGTATTCTGTTTCTTTTAAACAGTTACCGAGATGTAGTTGACATGCAAACCAATTCACCCATTTAAAGTAGATGATTCAGTGTTTTTACTATATTTACAGGGTTGGGCAATGCAATCATTATTAGAATCTAACTTTAGAAGCTCTTGGTTCCCTCTCAGAAAACCCCCTTAGTAGTGACTCCTCTGTTTTCCCCAACCCCCCACACCCCTGGTTCTAGGCAGCCCTAATCTACTTCCTGTTTCTATAGTACACTGCCTTTCTGCATTAACTGGTTCTTCAAATGACAATTTCACATTGATGAGGTTTCCCTAGCTAGGAAGCCAAGGCTCTTTCATTTCTTTCTGCCCTCTCCTCTTCCTTCCTTCAGCACCAAGGAGAATGGTCCAGCAGCAGCTTGGTCCATGCTTGTCAAACGCCCAGCTCCATACACTCCAGCCCGGTCCACATTTCCCAAAGCTCCTTGTGAGATTCCTCAGCAGCACCAGTGCACTGACTGTCACTCTGTGTCCTCTTAGGTCCTGCTAAGGTCTTACAAGACCTCATCATAGAAGACATTGAGGATGATGAGCTGTTCCCTGATGTGGTAAGATGCATTTCTTTGTCTCAAAGAGAAATTTTTATCTCTGGGGCCTCTGGAATATCAAGTGACTATCATTTTTGACTGTCATTGTGAATCAGACCTCAGTTGTCATGGACTCTAGCGACCATTCAGTGGAGTTTCTGACCAACTGAGGCCTGATTGATGATGTCAGTCAAAAGATGGCATAACTTACAACCTGGTCGTGGGCATATTTTCTTCTTGAAAAATAATTTTGTATTTTTCAGCCACCATAGATACTTTCTAAATATTCCAAACCCACTGCATTTTCTGCAAGGATTCCCTGTGCTCCATTTGGGGCCGGTGACTTCATCACTGTTTGACATCTGTTTTTTTTGTTTAGTTTAGTTTTGTTTTTGAGACAGAGTCTCTCTGTCACCAGGCTACAGTGTAGTGGTGTGATCTCAGATCACTGCAGTGTCCTCCTACTGCATTCAAGCAATTCTCCTGCCTCAGCCTCCTGAGTAGATGGCACTGAAGGCTCTCACCACGACCACACCCACCTTTTTTGTGGTGTTTAGTAGAAACAGGGTTTCACCATGTTGGCCAGGATGGTCTCAATCCTTGCCCTCATGATCTGCCCGACTCAGCCTCCCAACATGCTGGAATTACATGCGTGAGCCACCGTGCTCAGCTGCCATCTGGTTTTCTCATGTCACCAAATGAATACAAGACCTGAGCCAACAGGACCCAGCATGATGTAATCCTCATGGTGTTTTTCTCTTATTGCAGGAGAAGCCAGAGGCCCAGTATCACCACCGTACGTATTCTGTTTCTCTTAAACAGTTACCGAGATGTAGTTGACATGCAAACCAATTCACCCATTTAAAGTAGGTGATTCAGTGTTTTCACTATATTTACAGGGTTGGGCAATGCAACCATTATTAGAATCTAACTTTAGAAGCTCTTGGTTCCCTCTCAGAAAACCCCCTTAGTAGTGACTCCTCTGTTTTCCCCAACCCCCCACACCCCTGGTTCTAGGCAGCCCTAATCTACTTCCTGTTTCTATAGTACACTGCCTTTCTGCATTAACTGGTTCTTCAAATGACGATTTCACATTGATGAGGTTGCCCTAGCTAGGAAGCCAAGGCTCTTTCATTTCTTTCTGCCCCTCTCCTCTTCCTTCCTTCAGCACCAAGGAGAATGGTCCAGCAGCAGCTTGGTCCATGCTTGTCAAACGCCCAGCTCCATACACTCCAGCCCGGTCCACATTTCCCAAAGCTCCTTGTGAGATTCCTCAGCAGCACCAGTGCACTGACTGTCACTCTGTGTCCTCTTAGGTCCTGTTAAGGTCTTACAAGACCTTATCATAGAAGACATTGAGGATGATGAGCTGTTCCCTGATGTGGTAAGATGCATTTCTTTGTCTCAAAGAGAAATTTTTATTTCTGGGGCCTCTGGAATATCAAGTGAATATCATTTTTGACTGTCATTATGAATCAGACCTCAGTTGTCATGGACTCTAGCGACCATTCAGTGGAGTTTCTGACCAACTGAGGCCTGATTGATGATGTCAGTCAAAAGATGGCATAACTTACAACCTGGTTGTGGGCATATTTTCTTCTTGAAAAATAATTTTGTATTTTTCAGCCAGCATAGATGCTTGCTAAATATTCTAAACCCACTGCATTTTCTGCAAGGATCCCCTGTGCTCCATTTGGGGCCGGTGACTTCATCACTGTTTGACATCTGTTTTTTTTTGTTTAGTTTAGTTTTGTTTTTGAGACAGAGTCTCTCTGTCACCAGGCTACAGTGCAGTGGTGTGATCTCAGATCACTGCAGTGTCCTCCTACTGCATTCAAGCAATTCTCCTGCCTCAGCCTCCTGAGTAGCTGGGACTGAAGGCTCTCACCATGACCACACCCACTTTTTTGTAGTGTTTAGTAGAAATGGGGTTTCATTATGTTGACCAGGATGGTCTCAATCTCTTGCCCTCATGATCTGCCCGTGATCCACCATACCCAGCCTGCCATCTGGTTTTCTCATGTCACCAAGTGAATACAAGACCTGTGCCAACAGGACCCAGCATGATGTAATCCTCATGGTGTTTTTCTCTTATTGCAGGAGAAGCCAGCGGCCCAGTATCACCACCGTACGTATTCTGTTTCTCTTAAACAGTTACCGAGACATAGTTGACATGCAAACCAATTCACCCATTTAAAGTAGGCGATTCAGTGTTTTCACTATATTTACAGGGTTGTGCAATGCAACCATTATTAGAATCTAATTTTAGAAGCTCCTGGTTCCCTCTCAGAAAACCCCCTTAGTAGTGACTCCTCTGTTTTCCCCAACCCCCCACACCCCTGGTTCTAGGCAGCCCTAATCTACTTCCTGTTTCTATAGTACACTGCCTTTCGGCATTAACTGGTTCTTCAAATGACGATTTCACATTGATGAGGTTGCCCTAGCTAGGAAGCCAAGGCTCTTTCTTTCTGCCCCTCTTTTTTTCCTTCCTTCAGCACCAAGGAGAATGGTCCAGCAGCAGCTCGGTTCATGCTTGTCAAATGCCCAGCTCCATACACTGCAGCCCGGTCCACATTTCCCAAAGCTCCTTGTGAGATTCCTCAGCAGCACCAGTGCACTGACTGTCACTCTGTGTCCTCTTAGGTCCTGCTAAGGTCTTACAAGACCTCATCATAGAAGACATTGAGGATGATGAGCTGTTCCCTGATGTGGTAAGATGCATTTCTTTGTCTCAAAGAGAAATTTTTATTTCTGGGGCCTCTGGAATATCAAGTGAATATCATTTTTGACTGTCATTATGAATCAGACCTCAGTTGTCATGGACTCTAGCGACCAGTCAGTGGAGTTTCTGACCAACTGAGGCCTGATTGACGATGTCAGTCAAAAGATGGCATAACTTACAGCCTGGTCGTGGGCATATTTCTCAGTAGCAACATTTTCTTCTTGAAAAATAATTTTGTATTTTTCAGCCAGCATAGATGCTTGCTAAATATTCCAAACCCACTGCATTTTCTGCAAGCATCCCCTGTGCTCCATTTGGGGCCGGTGACTTCATCACTGTTTGACATCTGTTTTTTTTGTTTAGTTTAGTTTTGTTTTCGAGACAGAGTCTTTGTCACCAGGCTACAGTGCAGTGGTGTGATCTCAGATCACTGCAGTGTCCTCCTACTGCATTCAAGCAATTCTGCCTCAGCCTCCCGAGTAGCTGGGCCTGAAGGCTCTCACCATGACCACACCCACCTTTTTTGTAGTGTTTAGTAGAAACGCGGTTTCACCATGTTGGCCCGGATGGTCTCAATCTCTTGCCCTCATGATCTGCCCGCCTCAGCCTCCCAACATGCTGGGATTACATGTGTGAGCCACCGTGCCCAGCCTGCCATCTGGTTTTCTCATGTCACCAAGTGAATAGAAGACCTGTGCCAACAGGACCCAGCATGATGTAATCCTCATGGTGTTTCTTTTTCTCTTATTGCAGGAGAAGCCAGCGGTGCAGTATCACCACCGTACGTATTCTGTTTCTTTTAAATAGTTACTGAGATGTAGTTGACATGCAAACCAATTCACCCATTTAAAGTAGGTGATTCAGTGTTTTCACTATATTTACAGGGTTGTGCAATGCAACCATTATTAGAATCTAACTTTAGAAGCTCTTGGTTCCCTCTCAGAAAACCCCCTTAGTAGTGACTCCTCTGTTTTCCCCAACCCCCCACACCCCTGGTTCTAGGCAGCTCTAATCTACTTCCTGTTTCTATAGTACACTGCCTTTCTGCCTTAACTGGTTCTTCAAATGACGATTTCACATTGATGAGGTTGCCCTAGCTAGGAAGCCAAGGCTCTTTCATTTCTTTCTGCCCCTCCTCTCTTCCTTCCTTCAGCACCAAAGAGAATGGTTCCAGCAGCAGCTCAGTCCGTGCTTGTCAAACACCCAGCTCCATACACTCCAGCCCGGTCCACATTTCCCAAAGTTCCTTGTGAGGTTCCTCAGTAGCACCAATGCACTGACTGTCACTCTGTGTTTTCTTAGGTCCTGTTGAGGTCCCACAGGACCTCATCATAGAAGACATTAAAGATGATGAGCTATTCCCTGATGTGGTAAGATGCATTTCTTTGTCTCAAAGAGAAATTTTTATTTCTGGGGCCTCTGGAATATCAAGTGAATATCATTTTTGACTGCCATTGTGAATCAGACCTCAGTTGTCATGGACTCTAGTGACCAGTCAGTGGAGTTTCTGACCAACCGAGGCCTGATTGACAATGTGAGTCAATTGATTGCGTAACTTACAATCTGATCAAGGGCATGTTTCTTAGTAGCAGCATTTTCTTCTTGAAAAATTATTTTGTATTTGCCAGCTGACATGGCCTCTTGCTAAATTTCCAAAACACCCCACTGTCTTTTCCAGAAGCATCTTCTATGCTTCATTTGGGGACCAGTGATGTGGTTTTCTAATGTCACCATGTGACAAGACCTGCACCAGCAGCACCCAGCACATGATGCTTACGATGTTTTGTGTGTTTTTCTTTTGTTGCAGGACACCGTGACAGCCCCAAGTGACCTCCGTATGTATTCTTTTTATTATAAACTGCTTTATTGTCACACAGCAGACATGCAAAACAATTCACTTACTGAAAGTGGGTGATGTGGTGTTGTTACTATATTTACAGGGTTGTGCAGCCATTGTCACAATCTAAGTTTAGAGTCTTTTCATTCCCTCTCAGAGAAACCCTATAGCCATTAGTAGTCACTTCTCTTTTTTCCCAAGGCCCACACTCCTGGCCCTAGGCAGCCGCTAAGCTACTTTGTGTTTCTCTAGATTTGCCTTCTCTGGCAATTTCTTTTTTAATTTAAATTTCTTTTTAAATTTAAATTTGATTTTAATTTTGGGGATACATGTGCAGGATGTGCAGCTTTGTTACATAGCTAAAAGTGTGGCAAGGTTTGCTGCACCTGTCAACCCATCACCGAGGTATTAAGCCCCACATACATTAGCTCTTTATTCTGGTGCTCTCCTGTCCACTTCCCCCAGAGTGTGTGTTGTTTCCCTCTCTAACATCGTACATATTCTAATATCACTTCTTCCTAATGACAGATCTAAGTGATGAGTCGGGGGATTTTCTTGCTTTTGTCTGGAAAACCTCCCTAGCTTCAGGTTCCTGATAGGTGTGAGGATCTGGGGTGTGCTGTGAGAAACAGATGGCTCCATGAAGATCTCAGCTCTGAGACAGAATAAATGCTCCAAAAAAAACTCCTCAATCCATCACGTGGTCCACTTGATCTTCATCATGACTTAGAGCAGCTACCTTGGCTCTGTGTGTGAAGAAACATGCCCTTGATCAGATTGTAAGTTACGCAATCAATTGACTCACATTGTCAATCAGGCCTCAGTTGGTCAGAAACTCCACTGACTGGTCACTAGAGTCCATGACAACTGAGGTCTGATTCACAATGGCAGTCAAAAATGATATTCACTTGATATTCCAGAGGCCCCAGAAATAAATGCCCTATTGATGCTACTGTTTAAATAGGTTTTTGTTTTTTTCTGAAAATCTTCACACACAGAGCCAAGGTAGCTGCTCTAAGTCATGATGAAGATCAAGTGGACCACGTGATGGATTGAGGAGTTTTTTTTGGAGCATTTATTCTGTGGAAATGCATTGCTTTTCAGTAAAATTTGATTGTCCTGTATGGGTCAGTATTTTCCCAATGGAACAAAAGAATGAAACTGTGCAGTGTCACTTGTTCACCCCAGAAGTGATTTTTCTCATGACCAGGTTGTCCTAGACATCTTTAATCTCTGGACGAAGCTTCCCATTGGTGCTGCAGGGGTGCTGCTGTGTGTGAGTCAAGGAAAATATCAGTGTTACCAACATTGAGGTTCTCAGAATTTATGGACACCTGCTTAGTGGGCTCCATGGGAGAGAGCAAGGCAGAGCCTCATGGTAGACCTGAAGGTGAACATGATTTAGAGGATCAGAGGGAAAGAAAATGAGAATATTTGGGACATTGTTAAAAGAGAATGTTAAGGTTGCGATGTTAGGGGCATTAGTTCAGCATCATCACCAGGGCCCAGGTGATGGGCCCTGAGCCCCTTTCTGGGGAGGAGTGAGTAGGACTTGGCCTTCCTGTCTGTCAAAAGCTTGGTGTGAACATCACCCTAAATGCCTTGAGAAAGGAGCTTCCTTCCTGACCCATGTCTTCTCCATCTCTTTGTGTGATGATGGCAATGATACCAGCAGTGTCATTGCAGAGAGGGGCAGAACAGGAATCAGGTCTCCATTTTTCTGACACAGAACAGACAGGACACAAGTCAGTAAGAACTGTCCTCAGGGTCAGACCAGACAGAGATCCCAGGACTGATCTTTTTTGGGCTGAGACAGTCAAGTTTTTATTTTTCACCTCTTCTGGAAATCTCCTGAGGAATGATTCTTCAGTAGACCCTGTTGGCCAAGGGTCTTCAGGTTCAGAAATGCTTTTCAACTGGACAGTCTTCCAGCTCTTGGCCTGGGCAGTTGCAGCACTCCAAAGTAGCAGGGCAGGTGGGGAGGGACATGAGTTCCAGTGCAGGGTAATTTCAGCAAAGGGCTGGGGACTGATTCCAGACGCCAGGTCATCCTTGCAACTCTTGTGCAATCCATAACATCTCAGTTTCCACTTACTTTGGAGATGGTTTAAAATCTTCTGTCTCAAAGTCTGAGTCTTCCCACAGGTGAATAGAGGAACCCTGGCTATGGGTGTTTACTAGCAGGGCAGTGACTATGTCTTCCTCATTTGTCCTTACCACAGAGCTTAGTCCTGGGATGGACACATTAGTCTCCATGGATGTTTTAATGAACACACCCCTCGGATGAGCTCTAGGTCACCCCTGGGCTGGGATCTAGTACAAATGTGGAAAGGTTTTTTTCTCAGCCTGTCCAGCCTCTTGAGCCACACACTCATCCTGGAGCCTGCCCAGCTTCTGAGTCAGGGTCTCTGGAGATTAGGGTGAGCTCCTGAGGGCAGTGAGATGCCCCCACCCCTCTGCTCCTGCTGCTCTGATCTAGTCTAGACAGGGTGCATAGGGCCACGCTCTTCCACTGGGTGTGAGCACATCCCTGCTGGAATCCCTCTGAACCTGGATGTTGTCCTCACTGTCCTATCCCCAGCCCCACACAGTGATGAGCCCTTGTGCAGATGCCCAGGAAGTAACTGTAAATGGTGGTAGGATCAGAGCAGCAAACTTCTGCAAAAAAACACCAAAAGAGGGAAGTCAGGTCTTCCTCATGTCTGGATCTCTGGAGCTGTCCTGTCTAGTGTGCTTCTCAGTCATATACATGCCTCTTTATAGTTAAATAAATATGTACAATGAAATAGTCAAAACCTTATCACAACAGCCACCATGCAATGACCCAGCAACCATACATCAGAGAGCATTTCCCTCCCCACAGAATGCTGTCTTGCATGTCTGCTGTGAGCCTGGCCCAGGGTCTTATTGTTGGACTCATGTCACTCAAAGCTTGCACATCAAAGTTGGTATCTCAGGGTTGTGGGATTGGAGGTGAGACCTATCATGGGCCAGTGGAAGAAAAAATGGAAAGGTGATTTCTGCCTGGTGCCTGGTGAGCAAGACTGTCTCAAACAAACAAAAAATGATATTCTAGGAGTATTTCTGGGAGCAGTTGGGTTACACCTGTTGCTTTGGAACCTAGGAAGGGGGCTATGAAGCCAGAACAACAACAACAAAGAAATAGCTGTAGAGGTCTGATTTGTTTCTGTTGTATTTTAATAAGGTAGAGATGAGAGGGTGTGTGTTTATGGGCTTTGTGGGCTGCTTTTGTAACCATTGTTTCTTGCTCTGGTATTTAATGATTACTTTTCCCAGGAAACTTTCCTGCCTATGTCACAGCAAATGTCTAAGCCTTGCTTTTTGATTGGTTAATATCTTTTGGGAATTGGGAATGTGAGAGTATTATTAGGTCTTGGCATTGTCTAACATGAAAGATAACTGGTGAGACTCCCTCACGGTACTATTTGAACATAGTTGTTTCCCTGAGATGGTCTCATAATCTTCAGTTTCACACTCCATATGCCACACCCAGCAAAGCTCCCTGAGTTACTCACAGTCTCCAGCCACCAGGGTACTGACTTTTACTCTGTCTCCCTCCAGCTCCTCCTGAGGATTGCAGGAGCATCACTTCTGAGGATGATGTTGAGGTAAGAACCCCTTTTTCTGTCCTCTAAAGAATGCCTGGTCAGGTGGGGATTGGGGAGGGAGAGCATCAGGATAAATAGCTAATGGATGCAGGGCTTAAACCTAGGTGATGGATTGATACATGCAGCAAAGTACCATAGCACGTGTTTACCTCTGTAATAAACCTGCACAAATCTTGTCAGAGTTTAATGCCATGTCCTGCACGTGCATCCTGGAACCTAAACTTCAAAAGAAAACAAAATGAAATAACAATTGTTTCTTTTCTGATTTCTTTCCTTCTGTTAATTGTGATAATCTGAGAAGGCACATTATGTCTGACATGTCCAATTCTCTGGGGTTGTAATTCAATGGGAGTGTCTTCCCATTGGATATGTGATATATTAGAATGTTTTTAGATGACAGCATCCATTATCAACTGTAATGCAGAGGAATTTGCCTCAACACCAGTTTTCCTCTTTGGTTTAGGCATTGTGCATTTGCCAATGTAAATCAACTTCTAGATAAATTCTGTGGGAAAAGGTCTTGTTTTTTCCGCAGGTGTCCCTATACTAGTAGCATGTTTGATTCTTGGCCTTTGACTCAACCATTGTCTTACAACTAGTTTCCTGAAGTCATCAAGAGACTGACAGGTCTTTGGGTGGGGGGGGCGGGGGTGCAGAAGAATTAATCTGATCCTCATAGTGTCTTTTGTCTAATTGCAGAGTTCATCACTCGGTGTTTATGGTATGTACCCTTAAGTAGCTCACTTGCTGTGGAACAAACTTGCTGGTTTTAATATATAGAAACCTGATTCTGAGTTCTGGTTAAAGAATATTGGGGGTCTAGTGAGAGCAAATAATTTTGCAAGTGTATAACTATGATCAGAGGGACTGTATGAATGCATGTGAACCCAGAGGACCAGCCAGGGGATGTGTGAGCCGACGTGGCTTCAGCTGGAGTAAAAGTGAGTGCACCTCTGACTTATTCTGCTGTTGGTGGTTCTAAAGAGGGGATTCTGGAAAATCTCAACAGTGAAGAAGATGCCTTTCCAGGTAGGCAACAAGATTATAGGTGGAATCTAATAAAGCAGGTTCCCAGGAGCCTTCAGCTTCTGCCTGCTGCTTGGGAGGCTGAGCGAACATGTAGAAAGAGAAGAAAAAGAAAACATCGATGAAGTTTGTTCTTGTCAGAGTTTAATGCCATAGTGGTGAGAAGTCTGCGTCCCCTGTGATCACCTCTTTTTTTTTGTGTGTCCCCTGTTCTTGCTTTATTATTTAAAGATGGTCTTTCTGAGGATACCTCTTTTCTGCCTCTGCCACTGCAAATGTTAAAGCCTTTGGTTTGGGACATAGTTCTGTCATGGCAGTTACTTAATCTCGGAGACAAGTTTTCCACAGTGTGCCCAGATGCTTGGGAGAAACTGATCCTCACCTTCTGAACTGTTAGGTTTCATGGCAGCACATTTGTCTGTCCTTGCTGTTTACTCCTGATATCAAGGGCTCTCTCTGGGCATGGGGGACAGGATGAAGATTTGCTTTAGTTCATGGCAGCACATTTATTTGTCTGTCCTTGCTGTTTACTCCTGATATCAAGGGCTCTCTCTGGGCATGGGGGACAGGATGAAGATTTGCTCTAGGGTCATTGCAAAGCTCCAGTGTCTTGTAAATAGAGGAAGAAGCACACCCTTGAGCACACTGCTGAATTTCATTATTTTAATGAGAATATGGAGTTATACCATCATTTGTTAAAGAGGTCTTCCTTTTCCCATTGTGCATTCTTGGCACCTTTGTTGAAGATCAGTTGACTGTGTATGTATGCATTGAATTTTGGGCTCTTTATTCCATATCTCCAATACTTACGGGTGCCCCCACGCTAGGACCCTGCTGTCTGAATTTCTGTATCTTTTCCTCTCGTAGATTTCAATCTCATGAATGCGTATCTTCCAATGCTATTCTTTTTCAACATTGTTATGATTATTTGAGACATACAAGAATTCAAAAAAATTTTGGGGTTATCTTTTCTGTTTCTGCACAGATGGCTATTACCAGTTTGATAGTAGTTGTGCATCTTTGGATCATTTTGTAGTATTGTGTATTAGTCAAATTTTGTCTTCCTGTCTGTGAATACGGGATGCCTCTTCATTTATTTGTACCTTCTCTATTTTCTTTCAGTCACATTCTGTTCTTACCAGGTTATGAGTATTTCATCTCATTGGTTAGATTCTAAGTATCTAATGATTTCAGAGGTTATTATCCATGGAATTACATTTGTAATCTTGCTATTGGATTGTTGATATTGAGTGCATATTAACACAACTGCCGTTGAGTGTTAACCTTGTACTCTGCAATTTTGATTAATTTATTAGCATGAATAGCATTGTTGTAGACTATCTCCAATTTTCCATATGCAGAATGTGAAAGAAGTTCTCAGCTTCATACTTCTCTTCTCAAGTATATTGTTACTGTGAAGGTCTGTTCATATTCACCTACTGAATGGTGTCCTTCCAGTTGGTGTAGTAAGGTTGTTCAAGAAATACTTTGCCTACTTATTCCATAATTTATAGTTCTAATTCTTTGTTCATGCTATTGTATGTTTATTATTTTTCCATAGAATAAAATGCAGTATTTCTGATTAGATTCTGCATACCTAACTTCCCTTTTTGTGTTGACTGGAAGAACATAGGAAGGTCTATTGTGCTTTTGTTTTTCCACCATCAATTATCTTTTAAACCCTAGACTTCAGAATCTGAAGTGAATCTGGAATGTGGAAATGTGAAGGAAAATGCACAAGAAAGAAACCTAATGTTGCTATTCCCATGGCTTCCCTCCTTTATCATAAATGTATATTTAGTTCACAGTATTTGAGACCATGTTACTTCTACTCATATCACAAGTTTTCCCAAATACATACTGATAATATCTGTGTCTAGGCCAGTTTACCTACCAAAACATAGTTTTAAACATACTTTTGTGGATTATTCAAAATTCCCTATGTACAGAGATATGAATAATGTGCTTTCACCCAACCTATTACCCTCTTCAGAAGGAAGGAATGCACAAATCAGGTCTCATGACACTATCCGGAGCACTTTGTCAAGGCTAAGCCACGGTCATCTCCATAACTTGGCAACAGCCTCAGTTTAGCCACTTTTTATTTAAGAGAAAGAAATCATACAGGATATGATATCACATGCTTGGAACCTTCCAATATGGTAGATAGTTCTCCTCCCCAAGTAAACTGGTGTTCATTCCATTTTACCAGGTATCTGTTGATCTTTCATCAGGCCACTGACTGATCTTGTAGACAACATGCACTTAAATTTTCTTTTTTTTAGAAGTAGCTACTGTGTGGAATCAGGATGTCACCAAAAGCATTTTTGATACTCATATCTCATTCTTTTGTCCCAAGGTTAGAGTTAAGTTGAAATGACTCGTTTTGGACAGAGCAGTTGTGCATTATGGCATCACCCCTGACTTGGGAGCTTATATCTTGGGTTTGCATGCAGGTCTGGAACGTGTTAAGCTTTGAGATATCAAGCAAGTCAGTTCTTTTTAATTTACCATTCTGAAGATCTACAATACACAGTTTATTTTAAAAAACCCATTCAATCCTCACTACAGACCTCACCTAAACAGTGATTGTTTACTATCCACATACTCCTTGGATGGAGAAACTGAAGGGCTAATGAATGTGCCCATGCTTCCAAGCCCCTATGGGAAGGAGGCAAGATATGAACCTAGGGTTATAGCTCTAAAGCTGAATTGATAATATATTGTTGAACTGCAGTTATTACCCTGAGGAGGATGGCTCTCAACCCTACCATCATGGGTAGCTGTAAGTTGGTTCCCTCACACATGCAAGTCCTAGATTTACATGAGTCTACAGAGATCCCAAACACTGTGTATGATTCCAAGATGGCTGCAGCAGTCACGTGTCTTAGGGCAGACCACAGTGAATGCAACTGCAGGATATGGCACAGTCATTGGTGTGAATACTGCAGAGCTGCCCGATACCTCTGACCACAGGGTCAAGTGCAAGTTCTGAATATTAGGAAGCAGTACTTAGAAATATTGAGAAACTCCTTTCAGTGCTGGGGACATTCCTCAGCAGTTGGCCCCAAACAAATAAGATGAATGAGATATTTTTGAGATGGTTGAAAACTCTTATCACCAGAAGACCTAGAAATGATCAAATTCTGCAAACTACATTCATTAGACACAATGACAAGACAGCAAAAAAGTATAGGTATCCTCCATAGGCAATTATGGCATATGCATGACAAAGGAAAGATGGACTGAAGAAGGAACTATTCATGTGATTAACACCAGTTGTTTTATAGAATATAACTTCAATGTTTCCAATTCTTCCATCATTGAGTATAACAAAAGTTTAGTACTTAACTAAAATAGACTGTTTTGCCTAGAATTGAATACACCTGTCTGATTAACTTAGCTTTTATTCAAGGATTGAAAATTCTAAAAAGCAGAACTGCAGCGACAGCCATTTATGTGACAGCCATTTTCCTTCAAGTGAATCCATAAATGGAAAAATGTTCTTGGGACATAAATCACATAAACAAATATTGTTATATCTATTTGACACAATAAATCCCTAGTGTCCTCTTCTAAAAAATAAACTTCACTATGATTACACATTGCAAACCAAAAGGTTATATAAAACCAGTCTCAATCAATTTAGAAGTTTAATTTGCCAAGGTTAAGGACATGCTAGTGACACAGCCCCAGGAGGTCCTGAGTACATATATCCAAGGTGATCAGGCTACAGTTTGGTTTTTACATGTTTTAGGGAGACATAAGACATCAATTAATACATGCAAGATGTCAATTTCTTTCCTTGAGAAAGACAGGACAACTGAAAGTGGGAGAAGGTTGGGGCTCCAGGTCATAAGGAAGATTTCAAGATTTTTTGATTGTCAATTGGTTGAATTTAAAAACCGTGAATCAATAGAAAATAGTGGGTTCAGATAAGGGCCTGAGTAGACCCAGGTTTTTATTATGCATCTTTAAAACTGATGCTAAATGTAGCATCAGCATGATTGGGTCCTAGAGTACTGCCATAGTCTTGAATATGCTGTTTGTTTAAAAGAGCTTCAAAACGTGTGAGAGGCAGAAAGGCACTCTTCCATTGAACCTTAGTGTGCATTTGAGTTTCCCTTTTCAGTTGACTCTTGTGTTGCTGCATGATGCTCTAGTATGAGGCGGAGACCTCCATGTCTCATCTCTTTCCTGCTGCCCTCCCTTGCCAGCCCTCTTCCACCCAGGGGGACAGCACAGCAACTCAGTCCATGCTTGATCATCACCCACCTCCATACCCCACATCCAGCAAAGCTCCCTGAGTAACTCACAGCCACCAACCACCAGGGTGCTGAGCTTTCCCCTTTGTACTTCCAGTGTCTTCAAATGACCAGGCGAGCACGGTCGGACTCAGATCCTGGACAGAGGAAGAAGATCTGGAGGAGGAAGACCTCTATGTAAGACTCCTTTTCTTTGTCTTCTAAAGAAATTTTGCTTTTGTGATTTCTTCTCAGTTAATTTGGATGTGAAAATCTGAAAATGTACATTATTTACAGCATATGCAATTCTCTTTGTGGGGGTGAAATTCAGTGGGAATGTCTTCCCAAAAAACATGCAATCCACTGGGAGGTTTTCAAATGACAGCATCCATTATCGGCTGTAGTGCAGAGGCACATTCCTCAACACGTTTTTCTCCTTGGATTAAGCATTGTGTGTTTGCCTATTAAATCAACTTTAAAGGTGAATTCTGTGAAGAAAGACCTTATTTTTCCATAAGCATCCTCATGGTTTTGGGGATGTTGACCTATGGCTCAGCCGCTGGGCCACTCTTGTTTTCTACTCTTGCCAAGGGGTGCACCACAGAGTCTCAGCCTCATAATGTTGTTTTTGTATAATTGCAGAGAACATCCCAGGAAAGGGCGAGAAGTAAGTACCATGAAGTAACTCACATCATGAGGGACCAGCTTGCCGCTTGAGTGTATAGAAACCTGACTCTGGGATCCCGCTGGGAAGGAGGATTGGGGGTCTCCTGAGAGAAAGTGATTTGGCCAATATAGAACTCCAGCCAGAGAGGCTGTAGGAAGGTTTATTAACAGAACAAAGACCAGGGAATGATGTGCAAGGCCGCATGGCTTTAGCTGCTGGAAGAGGAGTGGGTGAGTCACTCTTTCTAATGACTTGTCCTGACGTTTTTGTTTGTAAAGGCTGGATTCTGGGGAGCAACTTCAAACCCCACAAAGATGACCCCCAAGGTAGGGATCTACTTTCCAGGTAGGACCTAATGGGAAAGGGTTCCTAAGAGCCTTCACCTTCAGGTTATCCTTGCTGCTTGAGGGGATGAAGCAGTGGGTATGAAATCAGAAAGAAAATGAAAATGTGCACAAGGATTGGTTTGCTCTTTTCAAAGTTTGTTGTCATAAAGGTAGGAACTGTGTCTCTGGGCTATGAGGGTGCTGTGTTTATTAGAGATGATTTCTGCAATATGCCTGCTCTTTTCTGCCCAGTGAAACATCAAAACCTTTGGTTTAGATTACTTGGCACTCCTTGGGATTATGCACAAGGGATGTAGCGCTGGGCATTGAGTGTCATCTGTAAGGAAAGGAAGGAATCTGTGGGAACATCTTTCTCACAGGCATTTACTTGAACTTAGAGAAAAAGCTCTGCTGTGTGCTAAGGGGAAGTTGATAATCACCCTCTGAACTTACAAGACTTGTCATAGCACATTTATGTTTGTTTTCTCTGCGGGTTTAAAGGGATCTCCCAGGGGTGGATGAGAGAGTGAATATTCAATCTGGGCTCACTGGTGCATCTCCAGTCTCCTGGGAAGGCAGAGAGGGAGTCTGACCTTGAGCATCTTTGTAGCCTCCACTTCCCACTTCTACCACAGATTCTGAGATGAGGCTTCTTTCTCTCCAGTTCTTTAATTTTGGGGGAAACTAAGAGTTCCTTCCCACAGAAGATGGCATTACACTATTTTCTGTCTTCAAAAATTAGGCTTCCATTGTTCTCTAAGTTGATATTTATAAGTTAAGTTCTGGACCTTTTATTCACAGATTGCTAAAAGTTGTACAGGAAACTCCATAGGATAAAATGTGCTGATGGCACATAATTCTGTCCATGCTATGGATGACATTTTTATCTTTGGAGGATCCTCATTTTACATAGTAAGATGCAAAACTAAGTGGGCACCCTCTATCCAGCCTGGGGCACTTCATTAAAGAACTGAGTTTGCTGCTGCCTGTCATTTGCTTTTCTTCATGAGACCTTTGAACCACCTAAATATTGCCAGCACCCTCTTTTGGGACCCTGATATCTGAGAGGTTGAGATGGCACAAGTGCAGACATCCCTAGTTCCTCCCTGAAATTTCCCTCCTCTTTTAATCATCTTCTTCCTTAAGGGAACTGCTCTGACTGCTAATGACTTGTTTAGACCTCTCCAGGTTTGGACTGTCATACATAGAATAAGTCAATATGTGATTCTCAGTGTCTGGCTTTTTTGCTCACATTATGATTTGAAATTCATTCATGTTCATAAGTGTAACTGGTTTTGGAATAATACTGGCACTCATTTCTGTGAAGTAGATTGTTAGAAGGGAATGTATCTTTTATTGTCATGAATAGTGCCAAATATTTTTCAGAATGGTGATGCTAATTCATGCTCCTGTAGCAGCATATGTGAGGAGACATTTCTCCAAATCCTTGTGCACTTTTAGTTTTATCTCTCCCTAAAAATTCCATCACTGTGGCTAGTCTTTCAATTGTATAGCATCTTACTTAAAATTTTTAACCAAAAATTTTGTTTTAATCTAATGATGCAGGCCAGTAGGTTTGTGTACGCCCATCTGACCCCAGCCATGTAAGTAATCATTGATCAAAATGTCACTGTGCCACGACTGTACTTGATAACAGCTGCTTACGTTATTAAACTGTGAAGGATAACTGATATACATTTAAGTCATGGATACTATGTAGTCACTTCTCTATGTTGCCTCTTTGAAGCATCAGTCACTTTGAGGCATAATTAGTTTGGTTCTGTTCATTATACAGATGAGGAATGTGAGTCTTGGTTAAGTAAATTATTCACGAGACACGCCCACAGCTGGATCTCTCTAACACCAAAGGCTAATCTATAAACTAACATGCTGCACTGCCTGTAGTGACGAAGTAGACTTGCCGTAAAGTGACGTTTGCTTCCGCAGCTGGGCGTGTGAGCTTAGCGGTGTTGCTGTGACCTATTGCTTTATGGGTTTGAGATTGGTGTTGCAGAAACCCAGATGGAGAAGCTCTTGGCTGAGGGAGTGAAAAATGACTGAAAGGATAGATGAGTGCATTTGAAGGATCATGCTTCCATGGAGCATGTTGTCGAGCCTCTTGGAATAAAAACAGATACAATCAAACAGAATCGCCCAGTCCTCAGTTGTACCATTTGGTAAGCATCAGCACACCATGAAGTGTGCTCACTGCTGTGTTGTGGGGACATAAAATCTATCCCAGGCTTCTGTGGCCGCCCATTCTGTCCTGTCCAATGAACCTCTTTTCTGTTCCATTGGTCTACATTTCTGTTTCGGTACCAGTACCATGCTGTTTTGATTAGTGTAGCAGCTAAGTTTGTGATCAGGTTTTCAGTATTCATTGAGAGAAACAACCTTTTGTAAGCAATCCACAGCACGACGTGCTCCTCATAAAGCTTTGTTTCTGTGTTGCAGGTAGTGCCGGTGTTCCATCTGAAGTGTGACTCTGGTAAGTATTCTGGAATTATTGTCAAGAAAAAAAGCTGGTTTCAATGTGCAGTGCCACCCTGATTCTGGGATTGTGATAGGAATAAGCATAGTGAAAGTGTTTTTTAGAAACCTGAGTTCCCCAGGGAAAAATCGTGGCCTAATTTTGAGGCAGCAGCTGTGCTCCCTTTTGGCTGGTACTGAGTTGGGTGCTTGAGGATTGGTGGTGTCTTGTGTGAGGCTGCATCATGTGTGTGAATTTTGTGTGTGCTTCTGTGAAGGTGAGGCTGTTTTCTCAGGAGAGATTTCCCATTTACATAGCCCATTCTCCAGTGTCCACTTTTAAAGAATAAAATCCAGCCCCACTCTACTGTCTGTACAGTGACTCCTCCACCCTCACCAGAGCCATCCCTGGGTCTGGTTTATTATCCTCACAGCTCAGGTGGAGAACCTGAAGGGCCAGGGGGTGGCCCCAGCTCCTGAGTTCCTGAATGAAAGTGAAAACACAAACCCAGGAGTGTGGGCCTGTGCTGACACTGGCAACTACTGGCATGCTCTCAGTCATGGGGTGTTCACCACCATGCAGGGAGGCTAGCATTCATGTATAAGCCCTAAGGAAGTCCCAGACACTGCCTGTCATAAAGTGGCCTCCATGGTCACACAACCCAGGGCAGTTACAGGTACATCTCCCCACAGACCGGCGTAATCATCAGTGTGAAAAGCACAAAGATCCCCAGGTGTTTGGGTCAGCTCACAGATCCTTTTTTGTTTCATTTTTAAGTTCAGGGGAACCTGTGCAGGATGAGCAGGTTTGGTACATACGTAAACGTGTGTCACGAGGGTTTGTGGTACAGGTTATTTCATCATCCACATATTAAGCCTAATATCAGTTATTTTCCTGATCTTCCCCCTACTCTCACCGTCCACCCTCCAGCAGGCCGCAAGCTCACAAATTCTAAGAGGAGTGGGGGACCACACTGACCAATGCGGCCCACTTCAGTTGTGAAGTTAATTTGCTCAGCAATTGGCCAAAGCATATAAGGGTCAGTGATGTCTTTTAGTAGATTTAGTAATATTATCTTCCCAAGCCCTAAAATGCTCAAACCCGACCAGCTGAAAATGATGAGGAGAGGGACAGGTACAAACTCTGTGCAGCACTTGGTTGGTAGCCTGGTTTCCATCCTCTCATGGCAACTCTCTTGTGCATGCGTGTTAAAGACCTCAGCCTCAACCCAAGCCTCCTCCATGAGGAGACTCTCACTATTGGCCGGCTACTGCAGCATATGGACACCAGCCAAAGTGAAACAAAACGTTGCTTTAAAACAAGTTATGTATTCATAATGTCTACTGATTGTTTTGTAATCTCTGCTCTCTCTGTGGTTGTCTTCCTATTAATTTCTGATAGTAATTATGTGATTTCCCTTTTTCTTGATAAATCTCACTAATGACTTGTGTACTAGATTTTTCTTGAAAACAACTGTTGGCTTTGATCCACAGCTGGATCATCATCCATGGCTGGGACATCAGGGGCATTATCCACAGACGGGCATCTACAGCTGGGGCATCATCCATGCCTGTGGCATCATCCACAGCTGGGGTATCATCCACGCCTGGGGCATCATTCACTGCTGGGGCATCATCTCCTGGGGCATCATCCACAGATGGGCATCATCCACACCTGGGGCATCATCCACTGCTGCAGCATCATCCATACCTGGGGCATCATCCACTCCTGCGGCATAATCCACTGCTGTGGCATCACCCACAGATGGGCATCATCCACACCTGGAGCATCATCCACTGCTATGGCATCATCCACAGCTGGGGTATCATCCACTGCTGTGGCATCATCCACTGCTGGGGCATCATCCATGCCTGGGGCATCATCCACTGCTGTGGCATCATCCACTGCTGGGGCATCATCCACAGCTGGGGCATCATCCACTGCTGTGGCATCATCCACTGCTGGGGCATCATCCATGCCTGGGGCATCATCCATGCCTGGGGCATCCACTGCCGCGGCATCATCCACTGCTGCAGCATCATCCACAGATGGGCATCATCGACTGCTGGGCCATCATCCATGCCTGGGGCATCCACTGCTGTGGCATCATTCACAGATGGGCATAATCGACTTGTGGCATTATCCACTGCTGGGGCATCATCCACTGCTGCAGTGTCCACAGATGGGGCATCATCCATGCCAGGGGCATCATTCACTGCTGTGGCATCATCCACAGATGGGCATCATCCATGTCTGGGGCATCCACTGCTGAGGCATCTTCCATGCCTGGGGCATTTACTGCTGGGGCATCATCCACACCTGGGGCATCATCCATGCCTAGGGCATCATCCACTGCTGTGGCATCATCCATGCCTGGAGCATCATCCACTGCTGGGGCATCATCCACAGATGGGCATCATCCATGTCTGGGGCATCCACACCTGGGGCATCCACTGCTGAGGCATCTTCCATGCCTGGGGCATCCACTGCTGTGGCATCATCCATGCCTGGGGCATCATCCACAGATGGGCATCATCCATGCCTGGGGCATCATCCATTGCTGGGGCATCATCCACAGATGGGCATCATCCATGCCTGGAGCATCATCCACTGCTGTGGCATCCACGCCTGGGGCATCATCCACTGCTGGGGCATCCACAGATGGGCATCATCTATGCCTGGAGCATCCACTGCTGTGGCATCATCCACGCCTGGGGCATCATCCACTGCTGGGGCATCCATGCCTGGGGCATCATCCACAGCTGGGGCATCATCCACTGCTGTGGCATCATCCACACCTGGGGCATCATCCACTGCTGTAGCGTCATCCATGCCTGTGGCATCATCCAGTGCTGGGTCATCACACCTGTGGCATCATCCACAGATGGGCATCATCCATGCCTGGGGCATCATATACAGCTGGGGCATCATCCACACCTGGGGCATTATCCACTGCTGGGGCATCATCCATGCCTGGGGCATTATCCACTGCTGGGGCATCATCCACAGATGGGCATCATCCACTCCTGGACCATCATCCACTGCTGTGGCATCCATGCCTGGAGCATCCACTGCTGGGGCATCCACAGCTGTGGCATCATCCATGCCTGGGGCATCATCCACAGATGGGCATCATTCACTGCTGGGGCATCATCCACACCTGGGGCATCATCCACAGATGGGCATCATCCATGCCTGGGGCATCATCCACTGCTGTGCCATCATCCATGCCTGGGGCATCATCCACAGATGGGCATCATCCACTGCTGGGGCATCATCCACACCTGACGCATCCACAGATGGGCATCATCCATGCCTGGCACATCATCCACTGCTGGGGCATCATCCACAGATGGGCATCATCCATGCCTGGAGCATCATCCACTGCTGTGGCATCCATGCCTGGAGCATCCACTGCTGGGGCATCCATGCCTGGGGCATCATCCACTGCTGGGGCATCATCCATGCCTGGGGCATCATCCACAGCTGGGGCATCATCCATGCGTGGGGCATCCACACCTTGGGCATCATCCATGCCTGGGGCATTATCCACTGCTGTGGCATCCATGCCTGTGGCATCCACTGCTGGGTCATCATTCACACTTGTGGCATCATCCACAGATGGGCATCATTCATGCCTGGGGCATCATATACAGCTGGGGCATCATCCACACCTGGACCATCATCCACTGCTGTGGCATCATCCACAGATGGGCATCATCCATGCCTGGGGCATCATCCACTGCTGGGGCATCATCCACAGATGGGCATCATCCATGCCTGGAGCATCATCCACTGCTGGGGCATCATCCACAGATGGGCATCATCCATGCCTGGAGCATCATCCACTGCTGTGGCATCCATGCCTGGAGCATCCACTGCTGGGGCATCATCCATGCCTGGGGCATCATCCACTGCTGGGGCATCATCCATGCCTGGGGCATCATCCACAGCTGGGGCATCATCCATGCCTGGGGCATCATCCACACCTGGGGCATCATCCACTGCTGTGGCATCATCCATGCCTGTGGCATCATCCACTGCTGGGTCATCATCCACACCTGTGGCATCATCCACAGATGGGCATCATCCATGCCTGGGGCATTATCTACTGCTGGGGCATCATCCACAGATGGGCAACATCCACTCCTGGACCATCATCCACTGCTGTGGCATCCACAGATGGGCATCATCCATGCCTGGGGCATCCATGCCTGGGGCATCATCCACACCTGGGGCATCATCCACTGCTATGACATCATCCATGCCTGGGGCATCATCCACAGATGGGCATCATCCACTGCTGGGGCATCATCCACACCTGGGGCATCATCCACAGATGGGCATCCATGCCTGGAGCATCCACTGCTGGGGCATCATCCACAGATGGGCATCATCCATGCCCGGTGCATCATCCACTGCTGTGGCATCCATGCCTGGGGCATCATCCACTGCTGGGGCATCATCCACATATGGGCATCATCTATGCCTGGAGCATCATCCACTGCTGTGGCATCATCCACGGCTGTGGCATCATCCATGCCTGTGGCATCATCCACTGCTGGGTCATCACACCTGTGGCATCATCCACAGATGGGCATCATCCATGCCTGGGGCATCATATACAGCTGGGGCATCATCCACACCTGGGGCATTATCCACTGCTGGGGTATCATCCACAGATGGGCATCCATGCCTGGACCATCATCCACTGCTGTGGCATCCACAGATGGGCATCATCCACACCTGGAGCATCATCCACTGCTGGGGCATCATTTATGCCTGTGGCATCATCTAGTGCTGGGTCATCATCCACACCTGTGGCATCATCCACAGATGGGCATCATCCATGCCTGGGGCATCATATACAGCTGGGGCATTATCCATGCCTGGGGCATTATCCACTGCTGGGGTATCATCCACAGATGGGCATCATCCACTCCTGGACCATCATCCACTGCTGTGGCATCCACAGATGGGCATCATCCATGCCTGGGGCATCATCCACTGCTGGGGCATCCACAGATGGGCATCATCCATGCCTGGAGCATCATCTGCTGAGGCATCATTCATGCCTGGGGCATCATCCACAGCTGGGGCATCATCCATGCCTGGGGCATCATCCACAGATGGGCATCATCCACTCCTGGACCATCATCCACTGCTGTGGCATCCACAGATGGGCATCATCCATGCCTGGGGCATCATCCACTGCTGGGGCATCCACAGATGGACATCATCCATGCCTGAAGCATCATCTACTGCTGGGGCATCATTCATGCCTGGGGCATCATCCACACCTGGGGCATCATCCACTGTGGCATCATCCATGCCTGGGGCATCATCCACAGATGGGCATCATCCACTGCTGGGGCATCATCCACACCTGGGGCATCATCCACAGATGTGCATCATCCATGCCTGGAGCATCATCCACTGCTAGGGCATCATCCACAGATGGGCATCATCCATGCCTGGAGCATCATCCACTGCTGTGGCATCCATGCCTGGGGCATCATCCACTGCTGGGGCATCATCCACAGATGGGCATCATCTATGCCTGGAGCATCATCCACTGCTGTGGCATCATCCATGCCTGGGGCATCATCCACTGCTGGGGCATCATCCATGCCTGGGGCATCATCCACTGCTGTGGCATCTATGCCTGGAGCATCATCCACTGCTGTGGCATCATCCATGCCTGGGGCATCATCCACTGCTGGGGCATCATCCATGCCTGGGGCATCATCCACGGCTGTGGCATCATCCATGCCTGTGGCATCATCCACTGCTGGGTCATCACACCTGTGGCATCATCCACAGATGGGCATCCATGCCTGGGGCATCATATACAGCTGGGGCATCATCCACACCTGGGGCATCCACTGCTGGGGCATCATCCACAGATGGGCATCCATGCCTGGACCATCATCCACTGCTGTGGCATCCACAGATGGGCATCATCCACACCTGGAGCATCATCCACTGCTGGGGCATCATTTATGCCTGTGGCATCATCCAGTGCTGGGTCATCATCCACACCTGTGGCATCATCCACAGATGGGCATCATCCATGCCTGGGGCATCATATACAGCTGGGGCATCCATGCCTGGGGCATTATCCACTGCTGGGGTATCATCCACAGATGGGCATCATCCATGCCTGGGGCATTATCCACTGCTGTGGCATCATCCACGCCTGGGGCATCCATGCCTGGGCATCATCCACTGCTGTGGCATCATCCATGCCTGTGGCATCCACAGATGGGCATCATCCACACCTGGGGCATTATCCACTGCTGTGGCATCATCCACAGATGGGCATAATCAACTGTTGTGGCATCATCCACTGCTGGGGCATCATCCACTGCTGCAGCATCCACAGATGGGGCATCATCCATGCCAGGGGCATCATTCACTGCTGTGGCATCATCCACAGATAGGCACCATCCATGTCTGGGGCATCCACTGCTGAGGCATCTTCCATGCCTGGGGCATCATTTACTGCTGGGGCATCATCCACACCTGGGGCATCATCCATGCCTAGGGCATCATCCACTGCTGTGGCATCCACACCTGGAGCATCATCCACTGCTGGGGCATCATCCACTGCTGTGGCATCCACAGATGGGGCATCATCCATGTCTGGGGCATCCACGCCTGGGGCATCCACTGCTGAGGCATCTTCCACACCTGGGGCATCATCCACTGCTGTGGCATCCATGCCTGGGGCATCATCCACAGATGGGCATCATCCATGCCTGGGGCATCATTTACAGATGGGCATCATCCATGCCTGGAGCATCATCCACTGCTGGGGCATCCACAGATGGGTATCATCCATGCCTGGTGCATCATCCACTGCTGTGGCATCCATGCTTGGGGCATCATCCACTGCTGGGGCATCTATGCCTGGAGCATCATCCACTGCTGTGGCATCATCCACGCCTGGGGCATCATCCACTGCTGGGGCATCATCCATGCCTGGGGCATCATCCACAGCTGGGGCGTCATCCACGCCTGGGGCATCATCCACTGCTGTGGCATCATGCCTGTGGCATCATCCACTGCTGGGTCATCATCCACACCTGTGGCATCATCCACAGATGGGCATCATCCATGCCTGAGGCATCATATACAGCTGGGGCATCATCCACACCTGGGGCATTATCCACTGCTGGGGCATCATCCACAGATGGGCATCATCCACTCCTGGACCATCCACTGCTGTGGCATCCACAGATGGGCATCCATGCCTGGGGCATCATCCATGCCTGGGGCATTATCCACTGCTGGGGCATCATCCACAGATGGGCATCATCCATGCCTGGGGCATCATCCACAGATGGGCATCATTCACTTTTGGACCATCATCCACTGCTGTGGCATCATCCACAGATGGGCATCATGTATGCCTGGAGCATCATCCACTGCTGTGGCATCATCCACAGATGGGGCATCATTCATGTCTGGGGCATCCACACCTGGGGCATCCACTGCTGAGGCATCTTCCACACCTGGGGCATCATCCACTGCTGGGGCATCATCCACAGATGGGCATCATCCACTCCTGGACCATCATTCACTGCTGTTGCATCATCCACAGATGGGCATCACGTATGCCTGGGGCATCCACTGCTGGGGCATCATCTACTGCTGGGGCATCATCCATGCCTGGGGCATCCACTGCTATGGCATCATCCACTGCTGGGGTGGCATCCACAGGCATCAACTGCTGGGGCATCATCCACGCCTGGGGCATCATCCACTGCTGGGGCATCATCCACAGATGGGCATCATCCACTGCTGGGGCATCATCCACTGCTGTGGCATCATCCACAGATGGGGCATCATTCATGTCTGGGGCATCCACACCTGGGGCATCCACTGCTGAGGCATCTTCCACACCTGGGGCATCATCCACTGCTGTGGCATCATCCATGCCTGGGGCATCATCCACAGATGGGCATCATCCATGCCTGGGGCATCATTCACAGATGGGCATCATCCATACCTGGGGCATCATTCACTGCTGGGGCATCATCCATGCCTGGGGCATCATTCACTGCTGGGGCATCATCCACACCTGTGGCATCATGCACTGCTGGGGCATCATCCACTGCTGGGGCATCATCCACACCTGGGGCATCCACTGCTGGGGCATCATCCATGCCTGTGGCATCATCTACAGATGGGCATCATCCACGCCTGGGGCATATACAGCTGGGGCATCCACACCTGGGGCATCATCCATGCCTGGGCATTATCCACTGCTGAGGCATCCACAGATGGGCATCATCCATTGCTGAGGCATCATCCACTGCTGGGGCATCATCCATGCCTGGGGCATCATCCACTGCTGAGGCATTATCCACACCTGGGGCATCCACAGATGGGCATCATCCACTGCTGGGGCATCATCCATGCCTGGGGCATCATCCACACCTCTGGTAGCTCTGCAGGAAGGTTGCCCACCTCACCCTTGCTTTTTCCAGGTTCCAGAGGCTCCCATTTAAAGGAGTGTCTCTCCCCACTCTGCCTCACCCAACACCAGCTCTCCTGTACCTATGGGCTTTCTAAATGCTTTCTTCCACCTTCACCTCATTGGATTCATGACTCTGGAAAATAGTCAAAAATTATAAAAAGGTGGAAGTGGAGGTGATCTGGAAATCCCTGCTATAATATTTTTAAAGGAATCTACTGGAAACTATGTTTTAAATAAAGCCATTCCTTAGCACTAGAATATCAAGCCATTCATGTTTTTAACAGGCTTTGAGATATAATTCAAATGTTTTTTACATGAACATGTATGTATGTGTATATATATATAACTATATACATATGTGTGTATGTGTACACACAGTTGTATATATATGCACATACATGTGTATACAGTTATGTATATAGTTGTATATATATATACACACACACATACGCATATATGTATAGTTTTAGGACACAAAAATACTGATCTTGAGAAAAAAGCATTGGTCTACATAAATATTGAAACTATCTGGCATAGCAAAAGTCCCCTTTAAGAATATGACTTACAAAGCGCAGAGTGACAGAAAATGCTCACAGCGTGTTCATGTGAAGAATGTGTTGTGTTGGCCTTGGCTGTCAATGTTGCCAATGTTGCTGCTGTCCTCAGTGCAGACAGCTGTGGCATTCGTTCAGAACCTTCGGATGCTGAGAGTGGCTGAATCAGCCCTGCCTGGGCCACAGACCCTAAATTGGACAGAGGGGAGGGACTGTGGTTCAGAATCAGCATAGTGAGGAGGGCGGGTGTGTGGAGCAGAGCTGACTGGATCCCTGTCCCTGGGTGAGGTGACCCCTCCTCTGTGCAGTGAGGAGGGTAAAGACAGGAGCCCTGGGTATGGTTCAGATGTGACTGCTTTGTGACACTGCTGTGGGGCCTGAGCTTTCCGAAGCCACCTCACGTCTCCCAAAATCTTCATGGGAGCAGAGCCACTGCATTTAAATAAGAGCTGCGACCCACCTGTTCTGGGCCCCTCTGCCCTGAGTTCTCACAGCTGACCCGGTGGGGTGAAGGTGTGTCCTAGCAGGTCAGTGTTGCCACCCAACTCTACCCAGTGGGCTCCCTGATGACCAAACTTCCATGGAGGCTCTGAGTCATTTTCCAGCTGGGAGAGGCCATCTCTGGAGTGTCCCTCACTGTCCCACACTGCCCTCAGACCCCAAAGCCTTTCTGTCTCTGACACACCAGGGCATCTCAGGTGGAGAGCCTTGGCTGTCCTGATCCTCCTTTCTGAAGCTGCTCACGATGTCCACTCCTGGGGCATCGTGGGCAGCCAGGAATCCTAAATAAAGGGGACATGGGTTGAAGGGAGGTCACTTGTTCCTGCCAGCTGTGCCAGCAGAGCATGTGTTGCACTTTCTATCTGTCGGTGTTTCCTGGGACCTAGAAGCAGAGTTTACTCACACTATTAACACTCTCCTCATCAGCCACCTAAAGGCCTCTCTTTCATATTTTTCTTATCACCATTTCAACTCATGTTTTCCTCCATCTCTGAGTCACCAACTTAAGTGTAAATCATGTGGTTCCACTTTGGCTTCCAAGTCATCTCTACAGATACTTACAGAATTCATAGTGTGTTGTCATTCTTAGCAAATAAGTTTTCCTCTTTAGACCTCATCTGGTTATTTTATTTTTCTGAGATTTAATCTCAGAAAACATTTAGTTTCATCCATGTGTGCATATGAACCATTTCTGTTACTTCCAATGGGTCAGCATTGTGTAAACTATATTTTAATTTAAACCCTGCACTGAGCAGCCAGGTTGCTGCTGATACCACGTGTCCAGTGAGGACTCCCTCCTGCACATTTCCCTCCATCTCTGAACCACAGTGGACTAGCTGCATGGAGGGTGCACACTTATGTTACTATGTGCAGAGGGACATCCTGCCGGATGGCTGACCTTATAAATAGACCAGTTGTAAGAGCTTCTGAAGGTCCACAGCCTGGCTGGAAATTTATTTTTATTTTTTAAATTGCAACATTAGTTGTCTGCTCAACACTCACGGGTTTCATGCCTCACTCAGAAGTAACTGCACAATTCTAGGGCATCCACAGGAACCTATAGGTTTTGCCTGCCCCTGACCCTGGCTGGCTGATCTCCAAGCCCGCCAGGGGGCTCTGGCAGCTCCTGTCACTCCCATTTTGCTCCCCCCAAACCCTTTTGCTTTGCTCTCTGCTGTTCCAGGCAGCTCCTCCCACACAGACGTGCTGGGCTCCACAGGGGTTTCTTTAACCTCAGGTGGATCAGAACATGTGTTCATGTGACATTTATTCATCCGCATTTTGCCTTCTCTAAATTGTTTTGTTGTGATATTTGTCCATTTTTAGTGACATTTCCATTTTATGTCTTTTCTGTTTTTTTTTTTTCTGAAATCTAGATTGTCCTTGCCAATATCTTTCCATTGTTCCATATCCCTCTGCAAGTTTGCCTGTTGGATCCTTCTTCTAACAAAGCACCTTAAATAGCCATTCAGGAGTTCATAAGGTTATGTGCCTTATCAGAATCCTGGAAACCTCAGCAAGTTCAGCACATGAAAATGCACTCAATCCTGTCATTAGCAGAGTACACATTGGAACTAGTTTCTCACTCTTACACCCACCAGAATAGGCACGTTATTGGAGATAAAAATGCAAAGGATGGTGAGGATGTGGAGGAACTTGAACTGTCATGTTACTCTGGGAACATACTTAGTTTCCACCATTTTGATAAATGGCTTTCTAGTGTGTACTGCAGTCATCAGCACCTGTGACCCTACAGTCCCACTCCTGCCACCTATGTTCAAGAGACATGAGCCAAGGATGTTGTCCACCTCGGGGACTTTACAGAAGCCTTGTTTCAGGCAACCATCATGAGAAACAGCAGAGTGAATGTAAAAAACACAGAGGTGTAAGCTAGTTGTGCCAACTTTCTACAATGCTGTATGCTGACCCAGCAGTACAAAATGACAAATGTTTCATCACGTGGAACATGGGTGAAATTCACATATTCACATATAATTTTCAACCATAAACAGAAGAGTACATGCTGTAGGTTTGCATTTTTATGATGTTTAAAAATAAATTTAAAATATGTTGATCATGATCAGAGTAGGTATCTCCTAGGGTTACTGCCTGGAAATTAGCTGAAGAGGGACTGCCAGGAGATTTACATCTGGGTGGTGTAACAGTGTCTGTAAGAAGGCAGCAGTCTGTGTCATATGTGTGCACTGCGCCACAGGTAAAACAACCATCACCTAAAAACTAATGCATATCATATCTTTCCATCGTGCAAACATCCATCCTTATTGTCTCCCTGGGAGTCTATCTACATTTTAAATAGAAGTAACTTCAATTTTGTATGTACAAGAACACGCTCACACTGCTCTCTTTTAACTGGGAAAATCATGACAGCAAATTCTGTAAAAGACATGACAAGAAAGGTGGATTAAAAGTCAAACTCTTTCGAATACTGTTGTCAAAATCCAACACAATATGTTAGCAATCTTGATTTCGAGGGTTGTTTTTTTTAATTTTCCTTTGAGTTTGGGATACGTGTGCAGAATGTGCAGGTTAGTTACACAGGTATACATGTGCCATGGTGGTTTGCTGCACCTATCAACCTGTCATCTAGATTTTTAGCCCAGTATGCATTAAGTATTTGTCCTAATGCTCTCCCTCCCCTTGCCCCCTACCCCTGACTGGCCCCCCTATGTGATGTTCCCCTCCCTTTGTCCATGTGTTCTTACTGTTCAACTCCCAGTTATGAGTGAGAACATGTGGTGTTTGGTTTTCTGTTCCTGTGTTAGTTTGCTGAGGATGATGGCTTCCAGCTTTATCTATGTCCCTGCAAAGGACAAGAACTCACTCTTTTTAATGGATGCACAGTATTCCATGGTGTATGTGTGCCACATTTTGGTTTTGTAAAGGAAAGGCTGGGGTTTTGATATGGATATAAATGTGGTGGGATGCGGACAGGATCCCTACTGTTTAGGGTGCTGCTGGGGAGAGTGGTGAGAAGAGACAGAGCCCTCAGGTTAGAGGAATGGACATTTGGTTAGAAATAGGACCTGGGTGGTCCTCAGGGACAGTCCTGGGGTAGGGTCTCTGGGCTGTAGCTGTGGAAGGTTCCCTCTAAGAGGAGAAGGGACTCTGTGCATTGTCCCTGCAGGGCTCAGGATGAAATAGGAGTCTGAAGATTCTGACCTTTGGTTTGGAAGAAATGAACAGGAAGAAAGGTCCACTCTGTGCTGGTGCAGCCACCGCTCATCCTCAGCCAGGGTTTAGTCCAGCTGCACAGTGACTCAGACCAATAGTAAGTCAGGCGGGAAGCTCTATAAACTGAGTTCATCAAGCCACTGACACTCCAGCCCAGGTGCACCCTTATCAGATAAGGGCATTAGCTGCTCACCCAGGGTTGGTCAAGTGGAGGGAAGCGAAGTGGTCATGTGACAGTTTAGAATGTTGCTTTCTAATACAGTTGGGTGTTACAAAGCCTAATACAGTTAGGGGTCAGTTGGCTGCAGGGGTCCCTTGTAGCCAGCTGATCATTGGAAATGTGTAGCCTGTGGCAGCTGTGATGCTGCTATGAAAGGATTGCCCTGTTTTGAATCACCCTCATCTTTCCAAGGGGCTTCATTTGAGATAAACCACATCCTGTTTGGAGTCTGGGATGGAAAGGAAGAGACAGAGGCTGGGTCTTGTGTCCAAGGTCTTATCTGGGCTCAGGCATCTATTCCAGGACATCAGCCCTCCCACAGAAACCTTGGGTCAGGACGTCTTGAGAGTCTGGTGAGTTCATGTTTTGGGGGGTCTAGAGCATGATCTGGAGGTCTGGAGTGTGAAGACATCTCTGATCCCAAGGTCTCAGGTATGTTTCTGCCCCAGGTGCATCACATAGCAGTGTGGTGACTGGAAAGTCACATGCCTTTAAGAGAATTTCTTCCAACTTTGAAGTGCAGGCCAGAGCTCCTGCTCTGCCCACCCTCAGGGCTGATGTGGGCATCACAGGAGATGGTCACATATACTGTCCATGAGCTGTAAATCCCACACAGGCAAATGAAGAAAGCCAACCTCCACCCTCCCCTGCCCTAAAGCATCCATGTCCCCTCTCTGGTCACCCACTGTCAAGTGTGTAGCTTCTTCTCCCAGGCATTTAATGATGGAGGAATCATGGAGCACTGAAGCATCAGCCACTTTTTCTAAAGCTTTAACTCTGTTCAATGATCTTCAGCCTCATCATGCTAACCAGTCAGCCCTATTAAAGTGTTTAGGCAGCAGTGCAAAGAACTGGAGGCTGATGGGGTTGCAGAATGTTCCCTGGTTCTCATGGCTCTAAGTGGGATTGAGCCCAGGCCCTCAGGCCCCAACCCCCGTGCTCAGTCACTCTGCTCAGCTGCCTTTCTGGACCGTCTCATCATAAAGGCATTTTCCACACAACCTTTCCCTTATGTGTTTCAAGTGCACGTGAGAACCCAGGATCTCCCAAAATCCCAGCTTTGGCTCAGCGGCTGTGTTGGGGTGTCAGTGCAGTGGGATCCACCATTTGAGCTCTGCATCAATTATGGTTTGTTTTCTCTGATCTTCTGCCAACAATTGTCAGTAGCTCTCTTTACTGTGAGTGCATTTCCCAGGTTCTTAGCTGATGAATTTGTGGAGAAACCTATATACAGCCTAGACCAGCAGCAAGTCAAGAAAGGGCCCCCGACCAACCACAGGTGCACCTGCAGATGGTAAGCTGATGGCACTGTCGATACCCAGCCCTTATGTTGATTCAAGAATAATGATTGCATTTGTTCCGAAGTTGCATATTTAAAATAAATCAATAAAAATGCTAAACTATATTGTTATTCATGTGAGAAAATTTTAATGTAGTATTCAATCAGTAATGTTTCAGCCACATAAAGATATATTCACAGCTCAGCTTTGGTTCACATTTAATAACAAAACACATCTGAAATTCCTGCTTAGACATTAACTGATTGTTAAACATTTGCTGCAATAGATCTGCCCTTAAAATAGTGTTGCCAAATGACTCTTTAATTAATAGACACTATTATTTGGATAAGTTTTACATTAGCAAAAAAAAAAAAAAAATAGAGCAGGTACTGAAGTTATCACAAGCCCCTTTCTCCATTTCCTCTGTAATTGACATGTCAGTATGGTGCATTTGTTATGGTTAAACCAATATTTACACATTATTAACTAAATGTCTTTGTCAGCATTATGGATTACTCTTTCTATTGTAAACTTTCAAGGTTTTTTGTTTTGTTTTGTTTTTATTTGCAATGTCTTGCTCCACCTTGCATGCACTCATCGTTCTGTTGCTGACAATCCCCTGTGCTTCTCTTTTTCTTGGAAACAGCTAATTTTTTGTTTTAGACCAATCTCACTCTCTTACCCGGACTGGAGTGCAGTGGCATGCTCTCGGCTCACTGCAACCTCCACCTCCCAGGTTCAAGTGATTCTCGTGCCTCAGCATCTCGAGTGGGATTACAGGTGCCCATGACCATACCCCGCTAAGTTTTGCTTTTTAGTAGCGACAGGGTTTCTCCCTGGCCAACATTTTTAATAGAGACAGGGTTTCCCCATGTTAGCCAGGCTGGTCTCTAATTCCTGACCTTGAGTGATGTGCCCACCTTAGCCTCCCAAAGTGCTGGGATTACAGGCATGAGCCACCGCACCCGGCTGGAAACAGCTGATTTTGTTAAATTGTCTCTAGAGTGCCTTTTTACAAAATGACACCTAGTTTGAATCACAGATTATGTAGCTTCTTCAACAGACAATCCCAGCCTCCAGAATGGTGAGAAAGAAAAAACTGTTTATACCACCCAGCCCATGGTATTTAAGTTACCTTTTCTTTTCTTGGGACAGGGTCTCACTGTGTTGCCAAGGCTGGAGCGCAATGGTGTGATCTGAGTTCATTGTAGCCTTGATCTTCTGGGCTCAAGTAATCCTCCCATCTCACCTGGGACCACAGGCACACACCACCATGCTGGGCTAATTTTCATCATATTTTTGTAGAGATTGGGGGTCTCACTATGTTGCCAAGGCAGGTTTTTATCTCCTAGACTCAAGCAATGTTGGGATTCACTCGGTGGCTGGCAAAATATTAAGGGAAATATCAGGGAAAGTTATAAGATATGGTCTCAAATGTTTTGGAAGATAAAAAGGTTTTTATAACTTGTAATAATGGAACAGGCCGAAGGCAGCTGGTTCTTACCTTAGAGTATTAGGTCATGGGCAAAAATTAGGGACAATAGAAGCTTCCCCAGTTAAGTCTGTTTACCCCACATTCCTTTGTCTCTAACTCCCTTGTTTACTCATGTGGTCTTAAAACTAACCTTTGAGCTGGGTGGCCCTATTGGGGGAGGTCAAAGGGAGATTACTCCTTAATGGTGTTTGCTCTGGGCCCTGGAACCAAATCTTTAACCATGTTAATTATTCACAAGCATGTTGAATTACAGCTTCTGTCATTAAGTCTAACTGAATAAATGTGAGGAGGGACAGGTATTGAAGGGTTGGGTAGCTGCAATGGCCCTCTGAGAGCAGCTGACTTGTTCATGGTACTTTGTGTGTGGAGGGTATTTATTCATCTATCGCAGAGTCAGGGTTTGCAGGACAGGCCCCCGCTGGTGGTGATCAACCTCTCAAAGCAATCCACCTGCCTCAGCCTCCCAAGGTGCTGGGGTAAGAGGCAGGAGCCTCAGCACCTAGCCAGCCTTGTTCTAGCAGCCTGCACTGACCCTGGTTGATTCTTCCAGAAGACACTGGTTGGAGAGGGCAGTCAGTAGGGGCAGCATCAGGCTTGAAGCTGTGTGAAAGGGGAAGTTTTGCTCAGCAGCAAATTCTCTCCAGATTAAGAGTTTTGTGATTGGCAGCCACTGTGAGCTAGAGAGACACATCCTCCAGGGAAAGCCTGCACCTCCCCCAAGGTATCTGTGCTGGCTTCTGGGGTTTTTGGCCACTGCTTTCCATCTGGGATTCTGTGTTCACAGCAGAAGCAAAAGACCTGAGAAACACCATGCAGCATGACTTGGTCCTCATGGTCCCTTCTCTCCTGTAATTGTAGGTGGCCTCAGGAAAACAGCCTGTATTCTAAAATCACTGACTCACTGATTTAAAAAATCCAGATGAAAAGCAAGGCAGGATTTTTCTGCTGGCTTCAATCTGATTCCAGCTTCCCACTGGGCACAAGACAGGGGTGGTGTAAGGAGTGATTTTTGCAGGCAAAGAACCCTGACCTCATTGTACAGTCCCTGGAGCAACCATATCCCTCTAGGTTTGTGTGCATGAGATTCTGGAGGGGTCTTCGTGGGTGTCATGCAATGTGACTGAATGTGTGTGTGAGTGTGTGGGTGGGAGTGTGTCTCCTCAGAAGAGGTGTCCCACCTACACAGCACAGGTGCTATGTCGACGTTCTCTAGGGGAACCCCACTCCCACTGTGTGCTTCCCACATGTCGACATGTT